GTGCCTAAATGAGGTGGTGGTGGTGGTGGTGGTGGTGGTGGTGATGATGCAGGAAAGTTGCTATAGTGTGGCAGGAAAGCAATGTCCACGAAACGACTCGCCAAGACTGACAAAGATTTAGGTGTGGTTAATAATGGTGATTTTTAAATACATGGTAATATACTTGTATCGGCAATAGTCAACTATAGGGATCTGTTTTCGAAAACCCTAGATACCACACTTGTTCAGACCTCAAACTGCACACAAGGGTACGGTGTGCAGTTTTGGTCTTCAATTGTTACCGAAACTATCAACACTAATCAGAAGTCGTCCTGTACTCCCGTGTGGGAGGGGGGGGAGGGAGGGAATTAAGACTTCTCTACGGGCTACTCACGCCCATGCCACCTCTTGTGGTGGCTTAATCTTCATCAATCAAATAAATCGTGAGTCGGCCGCGGCTCAGACCAGTTGCATTCCGACCTGACATGTATAAGGATCATAAAGACGGTTCCGAGGCTATTATTCTTAACATTCATGCAAGTAATTGTTTGATAATGTGTGTTATCCACGTTGTTACGCTGGCTGGCTGGCTGGCTCCCTGGCTGGCTGGCTCCCTGGCTGGCTGGCTCCCTGGCTGGCTGGCTCCCTGGCTGGCTGGCTGGCTGGCTGGCTGGCTGGCTGGCTGGCTGGCTGGCTGGCTGGCTGGCTCCCTGGCTGGCTGGCTCCCTGGCTGGCTGGCTCCCTGGCTGGCTGGCTCCCTGGCTGGCTGGCTCCCTGGCTGGCTGGCTCCCTGGCTGGCTCCCTGGCTGGCTGGCTGGCTGGCTGGCTCCCTGGCTGGCTGGCTGGCTGGCTGGCTGGCTGGCTCCCTGGCTGGCTGGCTCCCTGGCTGGCTGGCTGGCTGGCTGGCTGGCTGGCTGGCTCCCTGGCTGGCTCCCTGGCTGGCTGGCTCCCTGGCTGGCTCCCTGGCTCCCTGGCTCCCTGGCTCCCTCCCTCCCTCCCTCCCAGCGTAGCTGTGTGATGATCTGGCGTTACCCGGGGCAGGAGCGTGCCCCTGGCGGCTGCGTTGATAACTACCACATCTTCCCGGCCCAAGACGGGAAGCTGGTCGGTATTAAACTCATTTGATGGCGCCATTGTTTATATCCAGCTCGGGGGAACGCTGAGAGTATATTAGAGTATGCATCCTGAGTCATTATGTAAATTAGTTATGTCCACCAGCATCTCTTCTTCACTACACGGGTGTTATTGTATTCATACCTGCCTGCCTTCACTATGTATGAACACATGTTAAGATTAAGCATCTTATTGCATCTTAATTACAATTATTACTTAACCTATACCGTTGATAGGTTAAGTAATAATTGTAAATAAGAAGCAATAAGATGCTCATCTTAACATACTAAGAAGGTTAGGTGAGGTCGGTGTTTTCTATGAAGCTTTTCAAGGTAAACTAAAATATTCACAATCAATTAGTATGTCTCACATGCACTTATAAAATAAGCCAATACTGACTATAAGCAAGTGCAAGGACGGGTTGTCCACCGGGGACTCTTGTGTACGAAGTCAATATCCGTTAATGCTGCCGCCAATAGCAACCATGTTAGCCTGAGAACGGATGCCAGAGGCGCTTGGCATCACTGGCTTTCAATATCGAGTAGATAGTCTGGCTTTACTGTGTACTTTTAGAAATAAAGATTAGTTTATTGGGCGCCAGTGACCTCGCTGATCAGTGGGGTGTGCGTACTGAGCAACTCTGGCGTCCCAGCTGATGAAAGATGAAGATTAAGCCACCCAAAAAGTGGCACGGGCATGAATAGCCCGTAAGTGGTGGCCCTTTGGAGTCATCTGTGGAGGTGCGACTGCACCCTACGGAGAGGTCGTGACCTCTGGCGTCCCAGTTGACTGATTGATGAAGATTAAGCCACCCAAAAGGTGGCACAGGCATGAATAGCCCGTAATCTGGCGTCCCGTTTTTAGATGCAACTTTTGGTTCCTAGTAGCTGAAAGTAGCACTGGCTATGGTGAGCCCGTAGAGGACTTACCTGGCACAGGAGCGTGGCTGTGGGCTGACTTATGGCGCCTCGATCCCATCCATCTGTATCTTCTCGTGCCTTCCCTCCTGTTTACCTTCTTTATCCCCCCTCCCATATTCCACCCCTCTGCGCGTGTTGCACCCTGGGGGGGGGGGGACAACCCACCGGAAGTGGGGCGCGGAATTAATGAGCACAAGAGAACTAGTGGAGGGGGGAGGGGGTTGCTGGGGGTAATGGAGAGGGGGGCGTGGGGGGTGGATGGATTGGGCGTTGCTGAGTTAGTAGGGGGAGTTCTGGGGAGATGGGGGGGGGGTAATTTTGGGGCTTGTGGTTGGGTAAGGAGTGGGGGGGGGATTGTGGTAGGATTAAAAACACAACGCACCACATTACTCGCCCACACTCCAGGTACAGCAGTTTAAGGGGTTATTTGAAACGCATTTAGATTAGTAATGTTGTCCCGGGGCCACGTGGCCTGGACAGAAGTGTGAGATATATACAAGAGTTGTTACATTCTTGTACAGCCACTAGTACGCGTAGCGTTTCGGGCAGGTCCCTGGAATACGATCCCCTGCCGCGAAGAATCGTTTTTTCATCCAAGTACACATTTTACTGTTGCGTTAAACAGAGGCTACAGTTAAGGAATTGCGCCCAGTAAATCCTCCCCGGCCAGGATACGAACCCATGACATAGCGCTCGCGGAACGCCAGGCGAGTGTCTTACCACTACACCACGGAGACTGCTTAGTCCAGGACGGACCCGGAGGCGCAGGTCGGGTACACCTCGTCATCCTCCCTCGCTGTCACTCTTTGCCTCGAGCTTCCTGGATATGTGGCTGTCAGGATAGGCTGGACCAACAGCAGGTGTGGTGCCAGTAACCTGCTTGAGGGACTGGAACTGGCGTCTGGAGCAATCCTGGAAGACGCACGCCGGGGGTCTGGAACACGCGACCACCCTCTTATTCCAAGTACTGGAACGCCTCGTCCCAGGAGACTTTGGGGCGTACTCGTCGGCGGTGTTTACGTGCAAGGACTTGAACTTTCCAAAAAAATGGCAAGACTCACGTATTAATATTGGAGGCATTAGTCAGTGTGGCGTCAAATTACAGGTTATATTAGCGCGTGACGAGGAAGTGTTGGGACTCCCACCGTGCTCACTCGCTTACGCCTTCACTCGTTCCCATCACTTGTTCCCATCACTTATTCGCTTATATTCTTATGTGCTCTCTTACTTAGTTTCTCACAGGCCTATCAGCTGGCTAGCGTGCCACTCGCTTGCCCTCACTCACTCACTCGCTGGCCTGCCCTGCCCATCTCGCTCTCTGGGCAGAAACAGATTTCCATGCTGCTGCATGGTTGCTCCCCACGCCGCTGCATGGTTGCTCCCCACGCCAGGATTTCCTCATTCCAACGTCAGCTTTGCTATGATAATGGTTGTGGTTCCTGCATGTTTATTAATATCGAAATTGGGTAAGGTTTGTGTAAATCCACCTTTTTTTTTCATTATTTTGCCTTTCCCTCTGATAATTTAACGTCTTCAGTTCGCGTGTGGATATCTAGAAGCTGTTCGCCTTTCTCTCTCAAACTAAAACTATGGATCATTAGGACTGTTCATAATTAAACGGTAATTAAGGAGCTATTATCCTACGTCGATCAATAGGAATGGCCCTAGAAACTGTGCTCTGATTATGGCGCACTTACTTCTTACTGGCTCTATTCTGCATTTCCTTCCGTATCTTTCGTTTCAGTATGTTGTTATTCTACTGCGCAAATTTGGGACCTGGCCTTAAAGTATCTTCGATGTATATTATTGGATACCTTTCTAGTCTCCATTCCAAAGAGTATATTTTGAGAGCTTTGAGACGGCCTCGATAATTTAGATGTTTCATCGTGTCTATGCGTGTCGTATATGTTCTCTGTATTCCCTCTTAATTCAGAAATCTCTCCTGCTCTGTGAAAGGGGAAGCGAGTACCGAGCAATACTCAAGACGGGACAGCACCAGTGACAAATAGTATATAGCATTGCTGTGGGGTCCCTGGATTTGAACGTTCTCATAACCCATCCTATCATTTTCCTGGCCGCCGCTACATTAGCTTGGTTATGTTCACTAAATGTCCGGTCGTCAGGCATCATAATTCCCAGATCTTTTAAATGTTGCTTTCTTTCTATGATTGGCCTGTACCCTGTGTTTCGTTTAACTTCCTCGTTTCCACAATACCCAAGTACCTGGAACTTGTCACCATTAAACATCATTATATTCAGTTGCCCAATCGAAGACCTTATTTATATCTGCCTACAGTTTTTAAGCGTCGTCTTCAGGAAATTTTTATGGTGATTTTTGTATCTGAAAAAGGATGACATGAAGCTGTGACTAGTATTTTTGTCTATATCAGAGATAAGGGAAATAGCAGCGGTGCAAGGACTTTGCCCTGGGGTACAGAGCTTTCCACTGCACTTGGGCTTGATCTAGTTTGATTGACAGTCACACTGCATTCTGTTTGACAAAGTTGACAGTTCAACGCCCCACTTTACCAGTTATTCCTATTCATCTCATTTTATAGGCTATCACTCCATGGTCACATTTGTCTAATACCTTTGCAAAGTCTGTGTATAAAACGTCTACATTTTTGTTTTTTTTATCTAAGGCTTCTGTGATTTTGTCATAGTTGTTGAGTAACTATGACAGACAGGATCTTCCCGCTCTAAATCCATGTTGTCCTGGGTTGTGTAGTTCATTATTTCCCATAAAACTAGAAATTTAATTCCTAATCACTCTTTCAAGAACTTTTGTGACAATGTTAGTGCAACTGGTCAAATTTTTTGCCAAGGCTTTACTACCCCCCCCCCCTCCTTTGTGCAGAGGAGCTATGTCTGCAGACTTAAGTGCTGCTGATATCTCCCCTGTATCCAGACTTTCTCCATATTACGCTGAGCGCTCGCACTACTGGTACTTTACATTTCTTTATAAATATTTAATTCCACGAGTCGGGCCCAGGGGCTGAGTGCATGGGCATTGCTAAAATCTTCTTCAAAGTCTTCAGAGTTCGTGTTAATATCCGTTATATTATCTGTAACTTGGATGCCATTCATAAAGAAGCTGTCTGAATCTTCAACTTTCATGTTATTAGTGTGCTGAACATAGCCTCATACTGGCTTCTTAGAATTTCACTAATTTCCTTGCTGTTCTGTGTGTACGTACCTTGAGTTGTAATTAAATGTTCCAATACTGGCAGAGGATTTTGATTTTGCATATCTGAAAAAAATATTTTGGATTTTTCTTTCTCTTGTATAGCTTTCTGTTCAAATTCCATTTCCTTGTCTCGTATGATCGCTTCAACGTTTGCTCTATTTCTTCGATCTCCTTCTTTAGGTTTATTTTCCTTTCTTGTGGTGGTAGTGTCTGTTTAAGCATTTATTGTTTTTCCTTATGTACAGTCGTCTGCATTCTTTCTAAAGTAATCCTCTTTCTGACCCTCCTGACAGACAGATGCTTCAAGCAGATCTTGTAAGCTTCAGCTGTCAGTTGAGCTATCCCCCGTGTGGGGAGTTTCGTCGCTTAAGATAGTCTCCCATTGGATGTTGGCAAGGTCTATTTTTTCCCAATCGAATCCTCTTATTGTTGAAATGAAATTGAATTGACTACCCCTTTTAGCTTGTTGGTTCTCTTGGGCCTACTACCGTTATTAATGTTAGTTTACACTTCAATGAGCGTATGGTCTGAGTATGTAGTATCTGAGATTGTAATGTCTGATTAGTTCATCATTGTTTGTGAATAACAAGTCTAGTGTTTTTTTTTCCCAAGTTGGTTCTGTAATCTGTTGAGTGAGAAATTAGTCACAATCTTAAATTCTCTTACCTGTGATTATTTCCAGGGTGGTTCCCTGCTATATTTTTGTTTATCATTGGCAGGTTGAAGTCTCCAAGGAAGATCATATCTGGAGCTGGGTTTGCTAGGTTATCAAGGATGTTCTCTATTTTGTGCATCTGCTCTGTGAATTCCTCAACCTGAAGAATTGAGAATCTGAGCGTCTTGTGTTGTGGTTCCCAACTTGTGCTTGCCAAGATACTCGGTCGCTATATCTATATCTGTCTTGCACAAACATTTTCAAAAATTTTGAGGCGTTATCCTACGTAAGATTTGGCGACCCAAACATTTATTTACTTCAACATCTCAAACTTCTTGGTCTAAATTAATGACCAATGAAGTAGAGAAATAATGGTAATGATAGAAACGGTATTCAATAAAATTAAAGTGGTGATTAATTGGTCATATTTAGGTGAAGGCAACACTGTGTAACTGAAGGGAAGCAGTAGAACAGAAGTACACTGACCTCGCATCAGGCTGGGATACCCATGTGCATGGGGAAACAGGTTCCGGAAGATGAGAGAAAATGTCAACACTGTGGAGAAATGCCCGACAGACCACTGGAACATTATCTAATACAGTGCACAGTTACACACCCATTAAGATTTCAACTTAGATTCAACAGAGCAGAAGAAGTTGTTAAACACACATGGCAAAATCTTACTGAAGCGACCATACGAGTCATAAATACTCATACTCCGCCCAAGTAAAACAGAAACAAGCAACACTTAGTGGACCAGCCAGAGGCTTAGGACCCGGGCAGGAATATCCCTGAAAAAACTGAAGGCAAAAGTACAGTTATTTCCAACAATGTGTGTTACACCCAAACAAACATGACTTCACGACGACACACACACGGAGAGGACCATACGTAGCAGTGCCACGCCTCGTGTATACAAAGACAAGACATACAGCTATGAATGACGCCACCCCCCCCCCTCTTGATAACCTCGCTAGAGGTCACAAGGTCTTTTATCTGTTTTACCCCCCCCCTCCTCAGTCTTCATCCGTCCCCCCTCTCCATCCCCTAGCCTAGCTATGCGCGTCCCTCTTCCTCCTCATTGTTCACCGTCATAGCTGCAAGGTGCGGCCCCTATGATGGCCTATTCCTATATATGTATCTTGAATATAAACATTTTCCTTGGCGGACTGTTGTGTAGCCATTTTGATTCACCATCAGCTTCTAGAGGTAATTTGTATGTTTATTCTTGCAGAATTTGCATGTCGTATGTATTACACGTGTATCTCTTCAGACAGAGCAGTGTGTGTTCTACCCTTTCTCCTTCACCTAAGCAAACGTATCTGATCTAACACACCAGCTTAGACTGTGTAGGAAAGCTTGGCTCCACGGGCAAGGGGCTATAGTTCTCAAGAGACACGTAGCCTAACAGGTCTAGAAAGGATCAGCTAGTTGGAAAGGGTTATTTGTCTCCATATACGAATACTCAAATTGTATTACCACTTTTAACATAATGAAACGAAGACATTACCATACAGATAGGTGGTATAATACTTTTTGTTCTTACGAATTATTGCCGTCTGTAGACCTTGAATATCAAGTAAAAATACTGGAAACCTGTTCCTGAGCGAACTGGCAGTCTTTATCATGCTATACAAAAAGAAATTTGAACAAGGTACCGTGCATGAAAAGGAACTGTTTACAGAATTATTAAATTTGTGGGTTAATTAAAAAAAAATGAATGCTTCAGTGCTCGGTGATCGTAGCGAGAGTCGTTCAGCTAGGCGTCAGGGGGAAGAGCGCCCCCTGTCAGGAACACTACGACGGCCCGCTGACGGCGGGGGCGGCGCTGTGGTTCAGGGTCACCCGCCAACCTTGTCCACCGCCACCACTCTTAATTTGTTGATGAATTGTCTTTCTTGCCTTGAAGGTGGAGGAGTGTGGGAAGAAATGCGGGAGGTGGAGGGGGGGGGGGGTTAAGAAGCTAGGGAAGGGATAGAGGCTAGGGAGGTGGACGGACGGTCTCACACACATGAGACGGTGATGACAAAGCGTCCTCGGGGTTAGGGTTGTGGGGGTGCGTAGAGGGGGTCTTTATCGAGGGCAGTCCTCCCTACGGGGGGGGTGTTCAGTTCAGAAAGAGGGGGGGGGGTACGATATAATTCAGAGTTCAGAAACCAATATATCCCAGCAAGCACACATTGGGGATGCAGAAGCAACCACACACACACAGGCGCAGATCTCTCCTGTGCTGGAGTCTCGCCTCCTAATACCCTTCTCCCGCCTGCTGTAACTACAAATTGACAACACTTCACCAATTAACCCGAAGGAAGGTCAAAGGCTGCAGGGAGAGGGGGGGGGGTGCTCCAGCTCCTGGACCTGGATTCGTAGAGCAGTTGGCGTGCAAATGGTTGGGCACCATTCCTCCCACCTATCCGTCATATCCCTAACCCTTATCCCTTCCAAGTACTATATAGTCGCAATGGCTTGGCGCTTTCCCCTGATAATTCCCTTCTCGTAAGAACCAGCGTGTACATCTTTCCTCAATCTTTCGCGGCTTTGTTTAAATATATTAAACCGTTAATGAACTCCGAAGAGCTAGGTTTTTTTATAACAATAATATTTAACTGGGAAAGTTTGTGCTCAAACTATTTTATAAACGTAAACAAAGCCGCCAAACATCATAGAGTAGATGCGCATGTTCGGAAGTAGGATGCGTAAATACTTTTCGAATTCTGGCCCTTCACACGGTTTTTTTAATTCTTCTTTTCCGCAACAGTAGCTTTGAAGGTTGTTAAAGTTCGCCATGACACGATCACCATCTTCTGTTTCACAACAGAAAACTGTTCCCAAGTACCCTGGGGCTTGGGTAACTCCAGAAGACGTCAAAAGCAATCATTTCCCATGCATTTCGGGCTTTGGGAAGACCTTGGGGACCCGTAAGGGACCATTTTTAATTGTCTGATTAGCCACTGAACGCAGACAGGCGGGGGGAGGGCCACTGAACGCAGATTGGCGGGGGCGAGTCAATTTGTGAAAAAGAAGGAAGGGTGGAGGCAGCGATGACGAGATAGAGCAGCAGGTGGCGTGGCTGGTCCTTTGTCGCTGGCGGCCGGCCGTCCTCCTCAGGTACTGCGGTTGGTTGGCTTTGATGCGCTCTCTAAACGTTACCAAGCCGTCTGGCATTAGTATTCCTAGATCCTCAGATCTTCTTTCTTCCTGTGAAAACCTCTGGCAGCATCGTGCATCCTGTGCTAAATGTTGAGTTGATATTGTAAATTTACTCCTACAGGTTGTGTCTGTCTAAAAGTTACGGAGCAAGTACTGTGCCTAGCGGAACCACGAGAACAACGGAAGCAACTATATACAGTGCGCACAAGACCTAATTTTAAGTGCCTTTGATTACATTTGTCAATAGTCTTGGTTGGGTGGGTTACTTTGGTGGAGAACCCTTCATATGGAGTCGACCTTGAAAACCAATGCTTCTATGCAGACGACGTGTTTGGTGAAGTCGGTGCCCCGGCCCCTATAATTTGTTCAATGCGTGAGGCACAAAAAATTAAAATGTCAATCCCTGAAGATTGTGTGGAGGCGGCAATCCAAATCGTCGCCAATATTGTCCAGTGCTTTTGCAATAGTTGATTATTATCCCAATAATTACATCTGTAACAGTTGCTGAATTAACTCTCCACTTGGGCTGGACGGTAGAGCGACGGTCTCGCTTCATGTAGGTCAGCGTTCAATCCCCGACCGTCCAATTTTAAGTGGTTGGGCACCATTCCTTCCCCTCATCCCATCCCAAATCCTTACCCTGACCCCTTCCCAGTGCTATATAGCTTGGCGCTTTCCCTTGATAGTTCCTTCTTTCCGCCCCCCCCCCACCTCCCTCGTTACCCCCTCCTGGGTTGCCATGTTTTGTGTGGTGGTATCGAGCGAGCAGCCATGGCTATCCAGAAGTGTAATTGGGTTGTTAGCGCTAGTGCGAACAGTGTCGTTGTCCCGTCCAGCTGTTAGGGGTTTTGTCCTTATCAAGGTGTTTACACTCGTTAGGTTCCCATGATGTAATGTGGTTTTGTATTTGTATCGAAAGGGGGGAGGCAGGATGGGGGATTGTGTTGAATGGTGAAGAGGGTCGAATATTGGATGGACAATCGTGGGAGGGGGGGGGGGTCGTTGGCAGGGATGGATCGAACTATTTTTAGGGGGCCCCTCTAGGCCCAAACAGCTGAATGGGGCCCTCGCCCTCTGGACAGTTTTGCTAATCAAACGCGAAAAACAAACACACACGTACGCACGTAGAAAGGCCACATCATAACCCGCTGGGTTGTTCATCATCTACCCGGGCACAAATGGGACTTGTTTGTCTTGAGTGAACAAAGTGTTAAACATTGGGATTAACGTAAGTACAACCCTCAAGTTTCCAGTTATCTTGCGGGTGCAAATCTTTTTGAAGACTTTTTGTTGACAACCCGATCTGACTACCGGTTGTTATAGATTCAGCTACTCGGAACAAGTTCCAAGTAGCACGGGCTATGGTGAGCCCGTAGCTTACCTGGCACAGGAGCGGGGCAAGTAGCACGAGCTATGGTGAACCCGAAGTGGACTTACCTGGCAACAGGAGCGGTGCTAAGTGTGTGTCGTACTACTGATTCATGAAGATTAAGCCACCCAAAAGGTGGCACGGGCATGAATAGCCCGTAAGTGGTGGCCCTTTTGAGCCATTACTAGTATCAAAATATGATGCTGGAGATCTGTGGAGGCGCAACTGCACCCTGCGTGGCGGGAGATGTCTCCCGGACCAAATGGTGACCAAATGGTGTCGTACTACTGGTTGTTTTGTTTGTTGTTAAATGATTCGCTACCTGGAACAAAATTCCTAGTAGCACAGGCTATGGTGAGCCCGAAAATTGATACTACTGGTGAATACGGACGTATATAAGCCACCCAAGAGGTGGCATGGGTATGAATAGCCCGTGAAAGATTAGTAGGCTTGTATCTGGTATGTATAGTGATGGATTTAATGCGAGGAGAGGCGACACCTTCCCGCCCACTCGTCGCTTCTTGTCAGCCCTGCCCCCCCCCTTTCCTCTCAACCCTGGGGGGGGGGAGAGACTTCCGATGGCCGTATGCAAATGTGGTGTAAATATTGTCCAGCTATGTTACTGCCAGAGGGGGGGTGGGGGCAGGGCATCCTATTGCCGTTCTCCCTGCTTCCTCTGTACCTGCTCCCCGTGTCTGTCTGTCTAGTCACCTAGTTGTACTTGCGGGGGTTGAGCTTTGGCCCTTTGGTCCCGCCTCTCAACGGTCAATCAACAGATTCCTGAGCCTACTGGGCTCCATCATACCTACATTTAAAACTGTGTATGGAGTCAGCCTCCACCACATCACTGCCTAATGCATTCCACCTGTTAACTACTGACACTGAAAAAGTTCTTTCTAACGTCCCTGTGGCTCATGTGGGTACTAAAGTCTCCACCTGTGTCCCCTTGTTCGCGTCCCACCCGTGTGTATGTGCGTGCGTGCGCGCTCCCCCCCCCCTCCAGTCGCCATCCCCCCTCCCCCCCACGGTCCCAAGGACACACCATAACACGTATTACTCTTTTACGATTAAATCTTTTTCCCTTCCGCCCGCTACATTCCCATAATTATGTCCTGGAGAGACTGTCTCTGTCTGTCTGGCTTGTTGCCGCCCCGGGGGCCTTGTTTTTGTTGTCCTTGTTGCCGCCCCGGGAGCAATGTTTTTATTGTGACAGGTATACAGACCGACTCGTGCCCAATGTCTCAAAATTCAGCCCCTCGCGTTGTGTATAAACCATAGTAGTAATTTGCATTCGCTACTAGATACGAAAGTGGTTATAGCTGTACCTGTGTTGAACGTCTGCACTGTGATAATCTAGATTTCTCCCTCCCCCCCCCCCCCCCCCCCCACCCGGAAATATCGTACTTACAGAATCAAATAGAATTTATTGGTACAAATCGTACGAAAATGGACTGTTGCCGGTAACAATTCTCACGTTTCGTTCCCGTTAAGTTTGTAGAGAACAAAATAAAGCCAAAAAACTAAACTTAAACATTCCTAGGCCTGGTGTGGCGCCCGCGGCCTGTAATATGACTGTACATATAGGCCTAGCTTAAGTGTCATTCCGAGGTGTAACCAAAGTAGACCAAAACATAGCTTTTTAAAATACACTATTTTTTTTTTTACCATGTCGTGGTTTAGTCGGCTAGAGCGTGCGTCTGGGAATTGCCACCCAGCGCGTAGGTTCGAAGCCTCGTCACGGCTTCTATGGATTTTGTCACGTGACTGATTTGTGCGCGCGCATGATTGGTAAGATAGCGTGCATAGGTTTAACCTGTCCCTCCCCCCCTCTCCCACCCTCTGCTCCCTCCCATTCTCTGCTCCCCCTCCTCCTCTCCCACCAGCTCCCATTCACCCGTCTGAGAGCCAGCCTGGAGGAGGTTTGAAGGAGCGTGGGAGACGCTCCTGGCGACGAGATGTTTGCTCTTGTGATGCAGGGCATCACGGTGAGGTATTGTCCTCCCTGTGTGCTCTCACCTGTGCCAGTGTTGACCTCATTCACCCCGCCTCCTTACCTCACAACACCCCCCCCCCACCCCCCCGCCCCTCAGTCTTCCCTTGCCTCCTCCTCCAGTTTGTCTTGCTCTTCACACACCCACTCTTCCGGGATTTTTTTTAGTTTTGCTCCTTTATTCTTCATATACTTTGGTTTGGTCGGCCTTCCTGCTTCCCCACTCCTTCCCTCTTCCCACTCCTTCCCTCTTCCCACTCCTTCCTTTCCTCCCTCCCTTTTGCTCCACAGTTGAAGATGCTGCGAGAGGTCCCTCTCCATTGAATGGTAAATAAAGCAGCATTACTGCCGTCTCCCTAATGTGGTGCCCCTTGGCCTGTCCTCCTGCTCTCCTCCCTGTGGGCGTCTCCCTCAGGGTGGAGGGTGTAAGACCTCACACCACCCAGATTGGAGCTAGACTAAAAAAAATTGTTTTTCTTACCTTTTTGGGATGAGCTGACTTTAACCACAGAGCTCTATCCCCTCTGGTTTGAATCATGCCAGCTGAGATAGTATAAGCTGTGCTTAAAGATGGAGAGGTACAGAAGTTTCTTGTGTGAGGTGTTCAATCTGGATCACACAGGATATACATGTTGATATAGGCTGACGATGTATATATATGATCGAATTAGATGATCTGTTCTATTTATACATTGCCATAGTGCCTGTTATATATATATTTATTTTGCTCCGGATGAAGTGGTTTATTGGGCAGCGTCGCTCATTCCACGGCTATAGCGTCATTCCATCCCTCTCCTCTATGGTTAGGGGAGCCACTATGGGTTGTTGATGCTGTCACTTGTACCATGCTGCACCTGGCCCGCTTCATCCTGCCACACATCACCAGGCAAGGAAATTCACTTCAAACCACTGTGTAGCTTACGTTATATATCTGGCTGGTGCAGTGTTTCCCTGACAAAACGTGGGTGTACCTGATGTGGGTGCCGCCGCCCCCCCCCCACCGATCCCCCCCTAGTGTGGGTGCCGCCCCCCTCTCCCCTTAGTATGGATGTCGGGCGGCGATAATGAGATGGGGGTGTGGGGGGGGGGGAGTAGAAATAGCCTAAGCTACTCTATCCCTTTGAGATGCATTTCTTTGTCTCAATAAACATACTTGAGCTTGAGATGGGGGATGGACAGGAGTGATAAATATGGGCACTTAAGTGACCCACGACCTTCCCTACACACCTGCTGCCCCCCCCCCCCTCCCTCCTTGCCTCTCGAGGGGATTGAGGGGGGGGGGGGTGAGAAACTGGGGTTGTGGGGGACCGGTGTTTCACAGTTCATAGGACTTGATTGACTTAAACTGCTTTCCATTCGTCTCTTTTTAAACACAACCCATCCCCCCCCCCACATTTTACGGGCTATTTATGCCCGTGCCCTTATGTGGCTTAATCTTCATAAAGCCATCATAACCCATCCTCCCTCACTGTGTGCGCGTGTGCTAACGCGCGTGCACGTGCCTGCATATAGGCCAATATACTTGTGAAAACAAACTTGGGTTGCATTGCAGCAGTTCCCAGTATTACAGCCAATGTTTGTGTACAAATGATCGTGACCGCTGCCGCCATACTAACCAGAACCCTCCCTCCCTCTCCTACAGGTGTACACATCGAGAGCGTGAACTCCCACGGCCAGACTCCGCTCTTCTGCGCCTCCTTCGGCGGGGACAACGAGGTGGTGCTGCTGTTGCTGCGGCTGGGCGCCAATCCTAATCGTCGGTGTGGCCTCAAGGGCGCCACCCCCGTCCACGGCGCTGCCTACAGGGGCTCCCGCAGGGTCCTCAGACTCCTGGCGGAGGCCGGCGGCGATCTTGCCCTCACTGATAATGAGGACCAGACTCCCAGGTAGGGTGGGGGGTGTGTGTGGGGGGGGTGTAACAGGGAAGGTGACAAGGGGATAACATCAGTAACGTTATGGGAAGTTAATACACACATGAAAATGCCATTTAAGGATCCAAACAAGATTGTTTTAAAGTGTGGGAAGTTAAAGGGGGGGGGGGTATTAGATGCAGAAACATCTAGATCTCACTCCTCGGTAGACTACAGATAAAAAGTACGATTCTTGATAGAGGTGGTGATCATCCACACGGAATCTACACTTGTTCCCCACCATGGGAGGAGCCTACCTTCAGAATAGTATTTTTTTTCTACCACAGACGTGGCCACACAGTAATGGAAGGTTTTCCAATGAAAGGCTGCCTGTGATCCAACGATTCTAAGGTGCATCATTGAAAAACAAATGCGCAGCATTACAGTAGCAGGAGCCACCCACATCTACACGGACGGATCAGTAGACACAATGTGTGTGTGCTGTAAATGTGATTGCACAAAACACTCAAAATGCAATCATACTCGCTCAAAAGCTGCACTTCAAATATTAGAAGAAACAAAATGCAGTGGAAAGAGAACGTGGAAATCATTGCCACCATTTTGTATCTTGGAGCAGTAGCTAAAAGCAAAAGACAACATGACCCTAAACTGGATCCCATCCCAGGTTGGAATCCCATTAAATGAAAGCCAATGAAACTGCCTAATTGGCAACTCGTCATCCAGTGATGCATAAAACAATCCCACCCCAGCCTAGAGTACATGAACACTATCACCAACCCCAGCCTAGAGTACATGAACACTATAACCAACCCCAGCCTAGAGTACATGAGCACTATCACCAACCCCAGCCTAGAGTACATGAACACTATCACCAAAAAAACTCGCGCCTCAACAAAGCCTATCTATCTTGAGGTTATCTTGAGATGATTTCGGGGCTTTAGTGTCCCCGCGGCCCGGTCCTCGACCAGGCCTCCACCCCCAGGAAGCAGCCCGTGACAGCTGACTAACACAAAGGTACCTATTTTACTGCTAGGTAACAGGGGTATAGGGTGAAAGAAACTGCCCATTGTTTCTCGCCGACGCCTGGGATCGAACCCGGGACCACAGGATCACAAGTCTATTGTGCTGTCCGCTCGGCCGACCTGCTCCCTGTCTACACCACAGAGTAGCAGAAGGTTCGCCCCTCTGCAATATGGTATCAGGCCACCAAGTTACAGGTTAATATCCCAAACGGAACTCGCAGGGAAATAGCAGTTCGGTTATATAGACTACGTCTAGGTAACAGATGCAACTGGGAGATTGGTGAACCCCGACAGAGGAAATGTATCTTCTGCCAAACAATCTCAGAAAAACAACTACTTCACAATCTCATGGAATGTCAAGCAACCAACTACTTTGGAAGAGCTTAGTCCCATAATCTTGCAGTAACCACCCTGAAGCAATCAATACTGCCATTCTTCTGGTAAAAAAAAGGGGTCCAGCAGCTGGACATCCTCAAATACTGTCGAGCAGTATCCTCCCCGCGATAACAGCCTGACCATTTAAATGTGACCACAGCACAGTGTATATTCACTCCAAAACAAAAATCTACCACTTACGGGCTATTCATGCCCGTGCCACCTCTTGGATGACTTAATCTTCATCAATCAATCATCAGCTTCCGGCGGTGCCCAGGTAGTGTAAATAGTTGATGATGGGTTATGTAGTGAAAATACTTCAGCAATGAAAATAGTGTTGTAAAGATGGCGGGCGGCCTGGGTCACCCGAGCCGCGCAGTGTGCCAGTGATGGATGACGGTGCTGTGGAAAATAAACATTTCCATCCCTGGGACACGACATGAACACTAAAGGAAAGCACCGTGGCAGCAGAGTATACACACAGCAAGTCGTGGATGGAATCCAACACCTCGTGCTAATGAGGGTGGAGGATCGGGTCGCCAGCAGCGCCGCCCACCACGCGCGTGACCCCATCCAAGAGGAGTGCTCATACCAGTGTCTGCCGGGGAGTGAGGTCTAGCTTGATGATAAAGATTAAGCCACCCAAAAGGTGGCACGGGCACGAATAGCCCGTAAGTGGTGCCCCTTTTGAGCCATTACCAGTATCAATAGATGATACTGGAGATCTGTGGAGGTGCGACTGCACCCTGCGTGACGGGAGAGGTCTCCCGTGAGGTCTAGCTTTATTGTGGTGGTGGTTTAGATTAGGCTACTCTGAACAAAAAGTTCCAAGTAGCACGGGCTATGGTCAGCCCGTAGTGGACTTGCCTGGCACAGGAGCCCTTCCCACCATGTCCAGGTTGGCAGGGTTAATAAAAACGGTCTATATAGTCTGAAAAATAAATCTTGGGCGTATTGGTGCCTTCTATTCGCTCGCTCTTTCCCGTGCAGGACCGCCACCCTTGCCAAACGGTGCTTCGAGGAATCTGAGGGAAGTTGTATGGCTTGCGACGTGCCGCTTTTGGTCAAAGGACAAGGGATAGACTAAGTGGTTTTTATATCTCTAGCTAAGCTTTGTGGTCCTGTTAGGTGCACAGGCTGTTCTTGGACTCTTCATGTTGGAGAGTCAGGCTGTGATAGTCAAGCGCACTATGCTCATGTCCTGGAGAGTCGAGCACTCCAGGAATAGTGTATGTGGTGCACATTAACCTGTTACGCTGGCATATGGATTATTGATCTATTTACTCTCTTCCTCTCACCCCACGTTAGTAGATTTAAGCAACTGTAACCTGTCGAGATGACCATTAGAACACCTTGTATACGAATATGTAGTACATACAAGGTGTATGTAGGTGTGAAAAATACAAAGTTGAGCTCGAGCGCTAATGGTAAAAAAATACGTTTAATGAAAATTGATATACACTACCAAGGATTTATTAGATTGTCGTCGTCAGCAGCGGGTAGTTTGACAACTGTTGGTCAGGTGTCCCAAAATTGTCGAGGCGGGTCACTGGGGTCACCAGTCATCGTGACCTTCATAGTAGGCAAATAGAGATTCTAACTAGACCAACAAAAATGTCTTAACGTAAAAAAGATTGGCTCCAGTTCCTGAATCCCATCATGCAAATCTTGTTAACATTTGTTTAACCACCCGCACGATTGTTAAGGGGTCCGGAATAGTTCAACTGCCTTGTTTACTGCGCACGGCAATCCAATATTTAGGGGAACGTTAAAGAGCTTAATACACGAGTTTTGTCTTGCTTGGTGAGGCTATCATATTTGGCCCTTTTCCGTTTTATCCCCCCTCCCCTCCCCCCCCCCCCCGCAGTCTGCCCGTCTCGATCTTTCTCCCACTCATTTCAAAAATAATTTGTCCTGTTATTTTTACCTGTTTTATCAACCTTTACCATATACCTTGCCTTGTATAATAGGGGTTACCACCAGCATGTTTGCCACACACTGTGTGCGGGCCTCTTACACCCCCCCCCCTCTACACCCACCGTGCAGCAGACACCACCGTGACGTGTGCAATATTCTCCTCCGTCCCTCAAGAGAGGGACTTCCAGCAAGGGTTTTGCAGGAAGTACACAAGTTATACATAGCGTCGGGGTAAATGGCACGGTAAAACTGGTTAACCTAGTGGTTCCCCCCCCCCCCCCCACCCATAGTTGTGGCACCAGGTGGGCCGTGTAAGATCCTAGCCCTCGTAGATGGGCGGGAGACCATTGATTTCCAGGAACTGGCATCCCGTTGCCCAACCCACTGCTCTTTCAGGGACTGTTGAGTGCTAATGGTCTTGCGGGGGCTCATGTTCTTCCTGCTCTTCCAGGGACTACGCACTGAAGCAGCCGTCGCCGATCCGTCGCCAGAAGATCCTTAATTTCCTGGACCTGCTGCTGGCGATGACCCTGCACCGCTCCCTGGCCCGCACCGCCACCACCAACACCACCGGCCTCGCCCATCCCCTGCCTCATGCCGCCTCCAAGACCAGCCTCGCCCTCAAGTACGACCTTGTGGGTGCTTCTCGTTCAGTAAATAACTAACCATCCAAATTCCAGACTAGGGAGTACTCGGTTGTCAATACCTCTTGAGAGTATTTAGTTTTCCCAGTCCTTCCGTGCCCCATCCAGCACGAGTAGCGTTTGGTTCACGTAACTGCTTTCACTTTGTGTAGTTCTGATAACTTGTTGCCAGTTCACTGTGATTAGTACCATCAGCACCGCTCTCTAGTATGGGACACCATTCATGACAGGATCTTTTATATATATTTTCTTTTGTCTCCCTGAAAATTGTTTCCTTTTTAGTTATACTGCTTTGCCTTTATTATAATTTGTAGAGCTTATTTATATTGAAGTCTATTCACACACTTAATTTTTCTTCCTCAGAGGTGTTAGTTCCTGCTGCATTTTCTGCAAGTAAGATTGCAATCGCACTCTTTGTCTTGAAGCTTTCTTTGTCCGTCTCGAAGTAAGATGCTTGACCCTAAGGGATTCTTCACTTAACATTATCCACTGTCTCTGCCTTCTTCCAGATATTATAAAACAGGTTAATTTCTTCAAGTACTAACTAAAGGTGGGAGAAGTGTGTGTTGCCTAACTCCTTCTATTCAGCATGCAATTAATATTTGTGTTCACTAATACATAATGCTAGGCTACAAATGCATAAAAAGTTAGTTAATTTAAAGGTTGTAGACCTTTAGCTGATTACAAACAATTTAAGAGTTAATTTGGATTGAGTTGTTAGACTTAACAATGGTACCTGGTTATGGCAGGGGTCAAGGTGTGAGGGGAAGTACAGTATATGGTGGGTTCTGCACTTGTCTCTGGCTGGTCAATGGTCCTTTTCATGTACTCTAATGGTAACATTACTCTCTCCAGGCTGTGTGCGGGTGCGCAACTCATCCTTCTGTTTAGATAGTCCTTTTTGTAACTATGCGGACATACATTGATGTAACCGACAATTAGAGAGTAGAATATGGTAGTATTCACTTCAGTGCGCCCGGGAAAAGTATAAAGGCAAAAACCAAACTTCAAAATGCCTAGACCTAGTATAGCACATGTACCATATTAGGCCCAGGATGGTTAGATTAGGCTTTATTAGCAACATAAATACAAAACCTTTTCCAGTTTGTCCAAATTCAGTAGTACCAAATTATACTTTCTTATTGTCCATTACGTCGGTATGTGTGTGATGGTGCACATCGGTACTCTAAGTACAGTACAGTACTCTCTAAACAGGAGGGTGTGTGTATTTACTATTTGTATTTACTATTGTCTGTAGAATCGAGCAATTAGCTCTTTGACCCCGCCTTTCTAACTAATTTATTTTGTCTACTACATATATTTCTCTAACACACACACACACACACACACACACACACACACACACACACACACACACACACACACACACACACACACACACACACACACCCAGGAAGCAGCCCGTAGCAGCTGTATAACTCCCAGGTTATACTACTAGGTGAACAGGTGCATCGGGGTGAAACTGTCCATTTGTTTCCGCCTCGGCCGGGAATCAAACCCGGACCATTAGGACTACGGCCCCCAAGTTCTTTCCACTCAGCCGCGAGGCCCCCAGGTGTCTGTCTTTTAGCAGCTTGAAGGTCTGTTTTACCTGTACTTAATTTTAGTATCTATCAATACCGAAACGCGTTCCTCTGTTCACTGTTTTAGGCCGAGCCTTTAAAACGTTTGTATAGATTGGCGCCTATGGGAAATACATGGTGCCATTTCCATAGCCACAGAGCACATACCATCCATCCATCTATTCATATATCAGTTTTGTGAAGACTGAAATATAATTTAAATACTTTTGGTTTCGCTTTCATATTAAAACATAATTTCTCTAAGACGCCTATTGAGCCTAAGTAATAGTCTTAGGCTCAATTGCTGGCGTGTCGTTCTGGGTTAGGCTATCCCACAGTCCCTACCATCTAATGCACACACACTGCCAGCTTTATATATATGGGAATGTTGTTTGCAAATGTTACTAACTCGTAGTAGTAGTAGTTTAAGAATGTGATAGCCAGCCTAGTGCTATAACCAGCTGCTTTTTATAACGCTATTAACCCACCATCTATTCTAGCACAACCATTTAGAGCAAGAAAACGAAACCGTGGATCGGTAGGGATAAGCTTCAAGAGTCGTGGTTTTAACATGCTTTAGTAATGAGTTTTGATGCTTTTAATAAGTTATTTGCATACTTTTTTAATATGTTATATCGGAACATAAATGCGCTAGTCGTTATATTGGCCAACTTCAATGCTTTGCGTCTACCGAAGCTTACCTCCACCACGGTGTTAGAAAGGATCCTTTGCTAGTAGTGGATATGTTGACCATGGAACTAACGTATTTTGAGATCCAACCAAGCCCACTCTCCCCACTCGCTTGGCAACACTGGACATGAGTGGGGCGAGATTTTCCAGCGCCGGTCTGAGGGGCCTCCCTGGGGGATACTTGAAGGGAAAAGGGGGGGACATGACTTTGTGGCAATCCCCCCTGCTACAATAGGGACACTTGGAGGAGGGATAGGGCTTAAAGGAAAGTGTGGGCGTGGTCTGGGGATGAGTGAGCGAGTTTTTCTCTATCATCCTCCTAGGTATCCCCGAGGTTATCGCCCAAACCCTTCTGGTGCTCTAAGCCTCGCACATCTTGCTCCTTCAGGCACCCTGGGGGGGGGGGTAAGCCCCCTTCTCTTCAGATATTCCCCAGAGACGCATTCAGAGGCTTCTGTCTCTGACACCTCCGCTCGAAAGTGTCTACCAGCTCAGGTCAACAATATTGTAAGGGTCGGGAGTTTAGACCTAAACGTTTTTGGTTCTCATTGTCAACATATCCACTACTCGCCGCCCTCTACCAACACTTCTCCCTTAAACCCACAATAATTTCAGAATGTTCTCGTTTGAAACAATGTTAGTCATGTTTTTACATTTTAGATAAAGAATATAAATTTCATTGATTCTTCATTATCTATTCTTATGCTATTTAGTTACCCCTTTCACCATTACCCTGGCCTATTGCACTGTGTGGTAGTAGTTCATTATGTTCTGCTCAATGTTAAACTACGTTCTGTATGTGTGCGTGTGTATAGGCGTCAAGGGAGCCTAGCCAGCGTGTGGGGCGCCTGCATCAACGAAGGGGAGGCGGTGTCTCCACGTCCCCAGCCCTACACTGGTGGCACCAACTCTACCCTCCACAAGGTCAGTATAGGTCACTCCAGCCTCTGGCAGGTCGGCGCAGCCTGGGAGGTTTAAATAAGCTAAGATTTTCATGTCAAATGGTTTAGTGTAAAGTGTGTGAATATTGCGTAGTCTTCACGTTTCAGTTGTTACAGCAGTTTCGGTTTATGCTTAAAATTGATTTTAACATTCTTGTATATTTTTAAAATATATAGTATACAGGAGTAAACCACTTTTTTTTTCCATAGTTTTTCATTTGATTTGAATGTGCTTTTATATGGACTAATCATTAGCCTTAATCTGCACCTTTCAGACAGTTTCGTGTCATATTCTGGACCAGATGTATGTCTCGACCTCGCTACCCCTGCTGACCCCAGGTGACCTCAAGCGTCCAGAGGTCACAGGAATTGCTTACACGTGAGTCTCCTTTCATGTTGGAAGTACTGTACTGTGTTCCGTACTACACCAAAATATTTTCAAAAGTGTTATCTTCATTTGCTAGATAGGTGCACCTTACGCCACTGGTTCAGCTGGAAGTGCAGTTGTCCTGACAATGGGTGATTGCTTATATTTTGAGTGGGGAGTCCGTATAAACTAGGCCTCTACCCTCCAGACCAAACTATTTGCCCTACTTCTTGTACCCAAATGTGTACACGTTTCCAAACTTGACACCTTAATTGTAAGTGACATTCTTAATTGCGCTCAGCTCTTTAAAGATACAATTGTAACATGCTCGTGTCTGAAGATACACATAAATGCAACAAAGTTATTAATGATGACAACAGTCCATTTCATGTGGATTCCATCTCGTATTGGCCTCCAAATGCGTGATAGCGCTGATGAATTGGTCAAAGAATTTGCCTCCAGAGGAGTTGATTATAACCCTGGATTGCCTACAAGCACTGAGAGCAATAATACTTCAAGAACTTCAACAAGGCCTTGTAGATCAGAGGCAAAATGAAATGACACTTGCAGTTCCATCACACCATCATGCAAGAGCAGCCACACATCTATGGCTCATCCAGTAAAATCAGCAGACTCCTAGATGTTACTACTGCTCGGCCTAGACTCGGTTACAAGTATCTGTGAATTTTCATTACCTAATGATGTAGACCTGACCAAATGTAAACTGTCAACAAAATTGTTCTCACAAAGTCACTATGTGATGGAGTGCGAAAATGTACGTAAATTTAGAGACAGCTCTTCAGCAAATATTCAAGAAATGTGTAAATGTCAGAATTGCCTACTAGGAATTTTACCCCAATATCTCCAGTTTACTGATTGTAGGTAGTAAATGTGGGAGACTAACCTGTCCATCGCTGTCCATGGATTGAGGGGGGGGGGGAGTGGTGTGCAGGATAAGCAAATAAAAATCTGAAACTATCTGACCACGTGCGTAAGTTGCTTACCTTATAAACTTTACCAGTGGTTGTTTTCGAGCCCATTGTTTAATAATACACAAAAAACCATGTAGTTTATGCAGACTGTAACATTTCCCTCGCTAATTGCCGGGGGCGCTGCCCAAACTAAACGCATCAGGTGTAAATTTTCGGAAACTGCCCAAACGTTTATTCGTACTCGGGAATCAAACCCTCGACCTTCTGGTTTTGAGCCAACTGCAGAGACTACATGCCATACTGGCCCGAATAACGCCCACCCACCTCCATGGCCGTCTCCTATGTTGCTGTGCAGCGGTACATCACTAAGACAACACAACCATAGAAGATTATCAGTGATATAAGTGAAGCAGTTGAAGCTCCTCAAAACCACTACAAGCATCAGTCCAGCAGGTTTTATAATTCTTTGGATAGCATTAAGAATTTTTTAAACCCTGATTGCACAATTTAGTTTATTATGCACCCTATTCCCATCCCGTGGGCGGTAGTGGGGAAAGGCTAGAGGCGCACAATGGGCTCGGAAACTGAACCACAAAATTCATTTATTTAAGTTAGTCTCTTCGAAATTTCAAAATGGTGACTGATTTCTTCATGCTTCAGATGTGGTGGGCCTACGGTGTACTCTCCCTACACCTGGCTGGGTACCAACGTCACGGTGCGCAGACCCACACCAGCACTATCACTACCCAAGGAAAATGCACAGAAGGGTAATGCTTTCTTTGTATCGGTTATTTAATGGATTAAGTTTCTCTTTCCCTTTGTATTCTATTTTAACCGGATATGCATTTTTAAGTGCATTTTCTAGTTTGTGTAGGTTTTGCTCTTGATTTTGCGCTTTTGGAGTGGCATGCACACATTATTTTGAATCAACAAAGTATTGTCTCGTCTTCCAGGAGAGGACAAGAGTGCCCCTGACCAAGGCGCCTGCAAGTCACTGGAGCAAGAACTGACTATCCTTCGCCGGCTGCGTCACCCGGCCTTCCTGGAGGTGATGGCGGCGTGTCATGTGACCTCGCCCCAGCCAGACCACATCACCCTTGTGTTCCAGCAGGTGCCTTACGGCTCCCTCTACCACCATCTTCACGTCGAGGTGAGGTCCGCGTTATAGATGCTCGAAGGGATTTATTTTCATTCCTAATCATATAATTATTCCTAAATTGGGGGAGTAGAACTCCCAGACCCCGTCAAGCAGGTATCCTCCGAGATGGAGATATTAGATGAGCTTGTAGCTAGCTTCATTTATTTACTTTGTAATCTTTAATATAGAATTGGGTGGCAGCATTTTGCTGTCTATACCTGTGTATACCCAAGCTTGTTAATATATAAATTAGTAATCCTCATTTTTGGGAGGTTTTACTTTAGAATTTCTTATTTCCAGAGTTGAATATTAACTAGCTTTTATTAAATAAAATAAGCACTCAAATTATTCATATTTAGTATGTTATTGAAAATAGAAAATACTGATAGTTGCATGGAACTAGTCATGATCATATAGTCACTAATACTGTTGAAGAATTATTTAAGATGTCTAATAAACCATTTTTGACCAGCACCGGGACCTGAGTGTGGGCGGAGCTGTGGACATCCTGGTGGGCGTGGTGGAGGCCCTGCTCTTCCTCCACGCCCACAACTGGCTGCACACGGCACTCTCCTCGCATGCCCTCCATCTCGTCTCCACAAACCACGCCAAGCTGGGCGGGTTTGAGTTTGCTATAGAAATGCATGGCCAGGTAAGACAAAAGAAATTTAACCCTTGCAGTTCAGGCAAATGTTTACCCTCTTCCCTCCCCCTCTTCCCCTCAAATACCATCACAGTAATTGATTGGCATTTTGCAACAATAAAGAACTTGTGTAAACGTCTCCCTATTTGTCTGTATTGTAGAATATACTGTCATTACACAGAAATCACTATATTAGATTAAGGCAGCGTCTGGGATGCTCTTGGACATAGGTTCGAACCCTCGTCACGGCCCTTGTGGATTTGTTCATTTATACTGTCATTTTTCCCTTCCATTGTTGTGTGTTCCAGCAGACTGTGCACCCAACCTGTCCTTCTAATAGCATGTAGCATTTTGACGTATACTTTACCCAAAACAAAAATTGTCATATTAGAAAATGGTAGCGGCTTGCGAAATTGAAGTGATGTCACGTTTTCTATTTTTGGTCCACTGGTTGGTTAGGATAAGGTCACTTTAGCACGACAGTTTCTTGATGTTGGGAAACCTTAGGAGGGCAGGCTGGTGCAAGAGTCGGTGATCTTTGGACATGATAATCATGGCACAATTGATGATAAACATTCATAAAATATGATTGGAAGACTTTATATTTCAATAAGTAACGGCACAAAAGTGAGAATATTGTATTCATGATGTGTGTTCACTATTTGTGCCTGCAGGATCGGGCTCTTAGCTCTTGTACCCCACCTTTCTAACCATTGGATGTCTAATGTACGACGTCCATGTTGAGTGCTTGTCAATTTTATTATATTTGGGAACACACAATTGAGGGGTTTTGATGTGATGCGTAATAATCATACGGATTACATCTGGTAATTCCCTTTACAAAACCGTAGCCAAGAGGATTTGTGCTCTTTTGATTACCTTTTCTAAAGTGTGGTGCAGTATTTGTAGCCAGGTCTCCAGTATCGGCTATTGATACAGATAATGGCTCCAAAGTGCCATCACTTGCGGGCTCACCATAGGCCGTGCTACTTGGAACTTTTTGTTCTGTGTAGCTGAATCAAAAACACTTGTAGCCATTTTGAGTGCTGTACTCTACTTTCATAACACTTAAAAAATGAGTAAACATTTGCATTTATTACTGTGCTATATTCTGCTGGATCCAGACAGCCTCGTGTGCTGCTCCTATCTTCAGGTAGAGATTTTTGTTGAGCAAATATAATATATATGGCTTAAACTGTTGATCTTTCGAATCTTGGACATATTGCAATAAAATCTCAATTTTGTACTACAGTATAAGGAATCAATCCTTTACATGGATAAATATAATTCTGCATTTAAATGGGATTTTGATTTTCAGTGCAATTCATTGATTTGTCATCTAGATTGAACTTGGTTGTCATAGCTCCTTTTAACAACTCTCGGTCATCTGGTACCCTGTTTCCCCACTCTTTCTTGGCATACATTTTCGTTTACAAGTTCAGTGATTACCTTCATGAAATTACCCCATAATGTTTCAAATGTGGAATCGATGGATTGTTTAAAGTGCAGGTTAGGTGCATGTGTGTTTAGGTGGATATAAAAGGAGCTGCGTGGTATGAGTCAATAGGCCTTCTATTCTTTATTTGTATGTAATTAATATGTTGATCTTGTGACAGGGATGCAGTATGAAGGCTCAAGACCTTCTCCGTGCCTCCTGGCTATACCCCTGGCAGGCCCCAGAGACGCTCAGCGAGCAGATGGTCTCCATACGCTCGGAGATCTATTCTTTCACTGCTATTATGTGGGAGATATGGTCAGGTGAGGTGATGTCTTTGGAATTTGATATGAATATGTTGGTGCAATATGTCAAACTTTTAGAATTATGGTACAATTTGTATTCATTATTGCCCTGATTTCCACTTTCATGGGGTAGGAGTTATCAGATGGAAGTTAATTTGAAAATAATATGCAATAAGGCTTCATATATTAAATGGACAGGTCATCCATTTGTCATACAACTTGCAATATACAGCATCATGGATGAAAAAGCATACCACCACACTTAGTCACGAGTGTGTTTGTGTTCATATACCACTTGGAACTATTAAGTACAAAATAAATGCAAGCTTGAATTATACATCTTCCTTGAAAATCAAAAATATATACATCTGAAATAAGAACAGTATGCTCACACCCATTCTCCTTTAATATCTTATTATGAGTATAGTACTGTAATTACATGATTACATCTTGTGGTTCCAGGTATGCCTCCATGGGCAGGTGTGGAGGAGGCTGAGGTGGTGCAGAGGGTGGGTGGTGGGGAGACCCTTCCAGCTGTGAGCGAGTCCTTGCCTTCCCTTGTCCGTTACCTCACTCAGTATGGCCTCAAGTGGAACTCTCACCAGAGAGAACTTGACTTGCAAGAGATCCACACAATGCTCCGGTCTTTAAAGGTATGCGAAAAGTCTGTTTGGTATCACTTTTTCTAATAAGTAACTATTAGTAAATGCTGTAGTAAGTATTTGGATGTACTAGAGATATAATTCAAGAAGGTTTGGGTGGAAATTGTTAAAACACACTTGTAGTTTGCAATTACTGTACAGTACATAGATTTAAAAAATATTCTTTGATGTGAAAATCTAATTGCTTATTCTGCTACAGAAAGTAAACCTATAGCGATGTGCTCTACTACAAAGTCATAGTACAATCGGGCATGAAAACCTTACGGTGCTGATGCCAAGTCTTAAGGTGACCTTGTAGGTCCACTACTGGTTCTCATCTCCGAAGGATAACCATTTGGCCATGTTGAAAGGACGTATGCATAAACCCAAAGAATTTAAGCCTCCAAAATAACATCATGTGTCTTTCAACAGAACTGTCAAAACTAGTTAAATAGCCAATCAGAGTAACCAACGGCTGTTCCCCGACAGTACATGGCAGCACTACTGTAAGGCAAGCCATACAGTTTTATCCACTTCACACACATCTAGGTGATCTCAAACTTTTGGTAAACAATTGCAAGCACAGAACAAAAGTGCAGACATAATTTGCATATCACAAATTCCTTAGATGCATCAGCCATTTGTCGGCCTCTGCTTCCCTCCTGATATTACAAAGGCTATTTATCAACAGCTACTTCAGGGTAGAATATAATGGGGGTTTGGATGCAGTCTTCCTAATCTTAATGTTTCTCTTACACCTAAAAGTATGGTCTCATTTTTTGGCCAAGAACAATGGGTTAGGATATATCCTAACTAGCTAGCTAGTCTTCCCGAAACCAAAATACATAAAGCCTCTTAATCTGAGGTAGGAATGCAACAAACTCGCTGACAAGTAGCCAGGTTAAGAAGAAGAAACACTTTTCAAAGTTCAGTCTGTAATAAAAAAAAAAAAAGTTAACCTAAATTTACCGGAGGACGACCATAAAATGGTGGACTTGATTGGGATAGGTTTCCAGTGGCTTGTTAAAGGTTCTCTTCATTATTCCTGAGGATTTTTACTAATTATTTTGAACTGCAGTAATGTCTTTGTATTTATGGCTTTTGGTAGGTATAGGCACTTCCATAGGTTTGTTACTTTAAGGGTGAAATTCTGTTCAAAATTGTGACCTGCTGAGCTTGTTGTTGTTTCTGCAAGTTACATTGAATCTTTTAATGAAGTGGCCTGAACTAGACATCCTATTTATTGAATAAAGCGTTTTAAATACAGTGTCTCGATGATATCATCCATATCACTTCTAGTTTGACAGTTTAGTCTTGTGGCCGTCAACCTTTCCGGCTAAATATATTTTGACTTGGCTCTAGGGTATTTTTTTCCCCAACCCTGTGCTGAACCTCATAAAGCAGTTGTCATTTTGTAAGTGAGGTCTCCAGGGTTGGATACAGTAATCCAGGTGAGAATGTTTGAGATTTATTGTGATGAATAAGCCTTTTATTTTCCTTTTAAAGTTAAAGGTCCATTTGTTTGTAAGGTTTGCCTTTTTTTTTTACACCAGACCCCCACCAACTTGCTGAGCAACTTTAAATGATTGATGGACTTTCACTAGAGAGGTTTTTCGTTTTCAAGTTAATAATGGTATAGGCACTCCAGGAAAGTAGTTATTCTGTGGATCCAATATGTTCTTTGTTGTTTAGCTGTGTATAATAAGTTTGGTGGAATTAGTTTTTAGCCATTTTAATAATTTACATCTTATACACCAGATTCAGTCGAATGAGGAGGATCGTGTGCCAGCTGTTCCTGCATGGGGTCCACCATCCATACCAAATACACCGGTTATTGGCAGACACGCATCACAGACATCTGCTCACACTTCTCCTTCATCAAAGAGAAACTCTTCTTTGACATCCCAATCCACTTCCAGCGAGTCAACCAATATCTGTAAATATAGTTCTGGGTCCCCATCTAGTCACCCAGAAATATCTAGTGATTTTAGTGAAAACAATAGAAAATCAAGAAATTCATGGTCATCCAGGCAGGTGATAGTAACTAGCGAAGTGCACGCTCCCCAAACGTCTGCACCCCGCCGCCATAATACAGCACACACCCCTCAGAAACTGCACTCTCAGGAGGTGCAGAAGTCATCAAATGTTCCTTTAGAAGATAAATTGGATGGAGGCGTGCCGAGAAAGACACATTGTGTGCCAGGAAATGCCGTTGGCAAGATAACGGGTGTAGATAGTGGCTTCTCGACACCATGTACCCGCACGCCCAGTCCCACCATGGACACCATAACTAGTGCCAAGTAAGTGCAGTGTTCTGACTGAGATAAATTGCACTATATATTGTATTTCTGAAATATTAGTAAAGTTCATCCTGACACATTTAAATATTAATCTTCTAACCCTTTTAATTTTGATTATTTGGCATTTTTTCAGAATTAATCCATCATTTTTAACTTCAACACCATCTCGACTACCAACTACTTCAGTGTTAAGAGTGGATCTCCAACCAGATCTTCTCCCTAATAAAGTCAATATTAAATCTCTCTCAAATGGGCAAACCCCAGATATACTGGACCGTGGGCATATGGAATGTTCTAAAGGTGGATGTAGGAACAGAGGACAAGTGACACCCAGATATTCTGCGTTATCTGACCAACCTTCACCATCTCCCATTACACCAGTTACAGATTCTGATCACTCGCGTACGAGTTCCCCAGTGGATGAACGAGCAGTTGGGTATGGATACATTTCCAATGCCGCTAAAAGAGCTTTTTTGATGGAAAGTGATGGTGGGGATGATGGTACTTCTGCACTGCCTGAGCGTCCCTCTAGTGCTTCCCGACTTGATCGAAATGATGTCCAACATCAAGTAACAGATGTCCTTCGAAGAGCGGAGGTAGTACGTCGAGGGTTGAGTATGACTAACATTAGCTCGCCCAGCTTTGCGACCAGTGCTTGTGTTACTAGGACCACCTCCCATGTCTCGTTGACTAGCGCTTCCTCCAGTGCCAGTAGTGACACGAGTGGAAGGCGGCCCGTTCGTACTGTCAGTCAAATTACGCTTACCCTCAGGAAGCTATCACAAGTCTCGGACTCCTCTTCTAGTAAGGACGATTTGAATGAACCCCACCAAGAGCCACAGGCACTCTCTCGAAGGTCTCGCTCTCTCCCGAAGAGTCCAGCACACACTCCCAGGTATATGCATGGTCAAAATTTTACAAGAAAATAAGAAAAATATTATGTCGACTATATTGTTGCTTTTCTGATTAAGACTATGATTACAATACTTTGATACACCAATCTAACTTTAAAATTATTGTTTAGTGTTAAGTCAAGGAAAAGCTTTGGAGAAAGTGTAACTGAAAAAATACATATATTGTGAGGGGGGGTGAGAGTTCATTTATAATAATGGATAATAATATAAATCAACGTCTCCACTTGCTTGCTTACAGTACATGTATGTTATTTTAAATTAGGAATACAAAACAAATGTAAATTCTATAGGTACACTTCAAGCATGACAGGAAACAGTGGTATAATTATTTTGAATTTGAGGGACTTGAACAAAAAAATTGAGTGCATTTCATTTATAAAGACACAGGAAATGGGACATAATATAATGTGGAATCATTTTTCACTGGAGCAACTACTGTACTCGGTCAAGCTGAGGAAACGGGTAAACAACCACAGAACAGCTAGCAAGGTGTGTGCCCCACAAGTGCACCCAACACACCCTCAGTAGGTGATGTCCGGCTCCTCTGTCTGTGTGGGGGTGCAAACGTGCATGGAAAAACTTTACATGCTCACTCACCTCACTCACTCTTAATACACAATTTAAAATACTTGCAAACACACAAATGAAACGTATACAAAAAACTAATAAAACCTGATATTTTAACCAAGAGCATTCAACTTCATAACAATAAATGCTAGACTTTATATTCCAGTCACTATAACATTATACAAAAAATGGAATTACTCTTTTTCCAGAATTATTAATGTTCCATTTTCAGACACTGCAGAAAGGCGGGAAGTACTGGATGGGAGGAGATCACGGGCATCAAGCCAGCCAGCCATCAGCTGACACGCCATTCATCTTCGTGCTCCTTGGCGAGTGGTCCCTCTAGTCCCACCCATTACAACAGCCCATCTACTTCCTGGCAACACCACAACACTATAGGTGCTTGTGCGAGACCTTCCTCTAGTCAGGGCAGCTCGTCGCACTCCGCTGCAGGCACTGAGGTAGGGGGGCTCCCCACTTCAATGCCATAAACATGAACTCTTAAATATTTTTAGCAGTGTTTGACTTGGATACATTTGTATATTATCACAAATTTCTTGCTGATTTATCTGTTCTACAGACCATTTACCTGAATTGACTTGTTTTAATTATATTTACTGGCCTTGGTGGGGGGAGTAGGAAACTGGTGGTCTCTAACTGGTGGGAGGCTGTTCCTGCTGTCTGAAAAAAATCTAATGTTGTCCCTTGACAATTCTATATCAAGGTTATTCTACATAAAGACAAGCTTGAGGGTATTTTCCAATGTGTGTACTCTCCTAATTGTACTCTCCTAATTGTACTCTCCTAGTTGTGCCTGCAGGGGTTGAGCTCTGGAACTTTGTTCCCACCTCTCGAATGTCAATCAACTGGTGTACAGATTCCTGAGCCTATTGGGCTCTATCATATCTACACTTGAAATTGTGTATGGAGTCAGCCTCCACCACATCACTTCCTAATGCATTCCATTTATTAACTACACTAACAATTTTAATGCCACTATGGCTCATTTAGTCACTCAATTTCCACCCGTGTTCCCTAGTGCATGTGCCCCTTGTGTTAAATACTGTCTGCCCTGTCAATTCGTGTGTGTCTGTTGCGCACCCACCTAGTTGTACTCGCCTAGTTGTGCATGCGGGGGTTGAGCTTTGATTCTTTGATCCCGCCTCTCGACTGTCAATTGCCCAGTGTACAGATTAGTGTGTGTGTGGTGGTTTGGATTGACATTATCAATTTACTTGTTCAGTTCTACAGCATTTTAAATATCTGAAAGAGGTCACTCCTGTCATGGCTTCTTTGTTGAATCATCACACCTGTAGTACCCAGTTTTTCATGATTTTCAGGTTGACTTTGTTCCAAAATTACTTTCATCACCGTGTTTATCTTTCGAGTTCAATAATATAAATAGGTAAAAATCTCTGCTTAAATACAATAATCAAGGTGGAAAACCAAAAGGGATTTGTACAGCAGCATGACTATTTTCGTTTCCTTTAGTTTTATTATTCCTGTGGTTTCGTTTGCAATTCTAACTGAATGACTCAAAATAACTAATTTGCAATTTAACAATTCTAACGTAATGGCTATTTGCACTTGGTGGCTTTTAACAATGAGGTTCATGTTTTATTTGTAATCAATTTGTATCCCCATGTTAAGCCTTTTATTTTCAATATTTAATAAAAATTTGGTCAAATTGCAAGAACAGTACTAACAAAAAAAAACTCAGTATGGGAAAAACCAGCACACAGGCAGGCACCAGGAAACATGATAAATGTGTGTGTGCAATTAAAGAATGGGTGCCATTTAATTAACAAGAGGATTCCTTTGGCATGTAAATGTAATTAAGTTTTGTCATTTTTATACATGATACAGTATAGTAGGTAAATATTAGACTGATAACTAACCGGAATTGTTGTGGTATTCGTGATGCAGAAGACAAGTGTCGGGCGACGGTGGAAGAGTATCAGTGGCACTTCGGGTGGCCTTGGGGACACGGCAGTCAAGATCCAGCCTCGTCGACACTCAGAGGGCCAGAGACCTCGAGCTCGCAGGAGCAAACGGCATCAAGAAGTGGAGGTTTGTTTAAATTTACTGTGTTTTCCCCTGCCAGTGTATCATACAAGTTGAGCTTATTGGTCTCCCCCCCCCCCCCTCAAAGTTCGAATTACTGACGCTGCCCAAGATGCAACTCCACAAAAAGCTGACAACCTCCCGAGTACCTACTTAATGCTAGGCGAAAAGAAATTTGCCCAACCATTTCTGTCCTGCCTGGGATTCGAACCCGGAATTCTCAATTGTGCGTCGAACGAACCCGACTACTACCGGGACCCTGAGTACCTGGCCTGGGTACGTATTTACTACTAGGTGGACAGCGGCCCCCGAGGTGAATGGAAAGGCATCCAACCATTTCTGTCCTGCTCTGGATTTGAACCAGGAATTCTTGATTGTGCATCGAGAACAAACCCAGACTGTACTACCGGGACCCTTTGAATATCTTTAATTTTGAATTCTAATACAGTATACTGTAATCAATTAGCACAAATATGAAAACATATGAAACTATTTTATTATTTTTAATAATTTACCATGGTGACTGTCTTGTGAATTCTATGGTGCAGCTGAAGTAACCCGAGGGCCACTAATACTAGTGGCCTCGACAAGGACAGGAAGGCCTTGACTAGGTCTCCCCATTTGCCGTGATGATCCTTTCTAGGTGGATTTTAAGACTAAAGTTTTGGTGTTTGCAGCATCAGCGGGTAGGCGGTTCCATGGGTATATTACCCTGTGGGTGTTGTAACCCCCCATCAGTATCAGTACTGTTATTGTTACTGTACAATGTTAAATAAAATATATGGCCTCACTATAGTAAAAAAAAAAAGTCTAGGGATAAGACGAGTCTTAATACATAGTAACATCAATGACTTTATGGGGGGTGGGGGGTGATAAAAGCACTATACATTACAATCAATTGAGGATGTATCCAAAAGTCTTGTTATAAGCACAATATCACTAATGACATACTTCTTAAATGGTGTAATACTTGGGTAATTATCTCACCATATCAATTAAGCAGTTACTAAAACTGACACGAATGTAAACTTCTCAAAACCTCCGAACACACGTCAGACCAACTCCAGTACTCCACAGCCACTAACTCTTTCCCACGCATCCAAGCGACGCATCCACGCAGTACCTAAAACGTGAGACTAAACTTCTGACACTAGTATATACTCATCTAATCACTCAAAAACAAGTCTGAATCTCAAGATGTACTAATGTACATTATACAGTAAATAATACAAGAACAAGAATTATCAATAAACATAAATATAAGGTACAACAGGATGCTGAACTGGGAACAATGCCAGCACCACTAAAGCTGACAAATTCCCTTTTGTAATGTTGACCAAGCGACGCCAATTGGAATAGCCTCGTACCCAAAATCACACAAGTGTATATACAGTATATAATAATATCATCACTGACACATGTCAGCATGACACAAATACCATAACAATATACGGTATGTATATATTACACAATACAGGAATGCAAATACATCTTAATAATAATTTTGAGATGGGAAAAATAATAATTTATATGTACCAAGATTACAGTGAGAATTGAGCAATTAACTGATTCGTAACAGTGGGTGAAAAGCCGCCTCCTGTTCAGTCCTACATTGAGGTTTGTTGAGCTTGAAACCGTTGATCCTTGTTTTTGTTACATCTGACCTTTTGAAGAAATTCGGGATCAACATCCTCCCACTTGTTTAGTACTGTATTTTAAACACGTACAAAACTGTTCCTAAATGCTAATCATAATCTGAAACTTTTCCTTGATAGGTGTAATAGAATCCATAAGCACCACACCAGAAATAAATCTCTTTGATCTCCCCAGAGTCAAACTAAATCTGTGCAAACATTTATTCAAAAGTCTTATTCCTTATTCAAGAGTAAAAGCCTTATTCAAAAGTAAAACCAAAAGTTCCTAAATTCATCCTTATAGTTCTTACCTTGTGCTTCAAACTCTCACTGTATCTTGTACTACCAACTTCAATATTAGTACAGGTAATCAAGGCATATAGCTTCACCAGTGTAATCACCTATGTCAATTTATGTTGTAGTTATATGTTGATACAGGGTGTATACATTTTGCTACAATGTACCTTTTCATCTTTCCTGATACGTTGGATTAAGGACCGGCCCAAAATGCTATGGGTGTTATTGGCTTTGCAAGAATGTCTGTAATTTCCTTGCCAGTCTTTTTATGTGGTTCCTTATCAGATGCTTTAGCAAAATCCATGTCTACTACATCCACTGGATGGTTTTGAGTAGCTGGTTATCATTTCCAAAAAATGTGAGCAGGTTTGTGAGGCGAGATCAATTTTTAACAAACCCATGCAAAATAAAACCATTGATGGATTGCTACATTCTAGAATATTGCAATAAATGGCATTTGCTCCAAGCAAAGTTCTGCAACAACAGGCCATTTATAAATAAATCCTAAGACTTGTGTACAGCATTGCATATTTCCAAAAGCTTCATGCAATTCCTTTGTATTTCAGGTTGAGGAGGAGTTCTTTGATGACGAGTTCAATGCGCAATTATTCCAGCAGCCACACATGCAGCTATCAGTGGGATCCTCCGAGAACCTCCTGGATAGCCGGGCACCGCACTCCATGCTGGCAGATGGATCAGGTAAGGCAATAGCAAATGTTAATAGACTAGGTAATTGATTTCATCCCAGTAGAGTACAGCATTTTATAGCATTTATGATGACATTGTTTAGTGCATTTGAGATTGTAGCAGTTATAAGAAAATATTTCCAGGTACAGTACTGTATACACTTCACATTCGGAGATTATTAAACTTATAATTACAAAATATGATAAACCTTATGAAATACCATAGATATGGGGAACATTTGTTATTAAACAAAAGTTATTTATAAAAGATTTCAATCTCTTCCCATATGGAAAAATAAATGCAAAGCAGGAGCTTTTTAAGTGTGGGGGGTGTGTGGGGTTGGGGGTACTATAGAAATACTGCACTGATTTTTTCTCGATGTAACTTTTAAATTGGGAAGTTATTTAATACCAGTACTCTATTTAATAAATACGTTTTTCATAAATGTGAATGTTTAAATTACAGTATTGTATACATTTGGGGGAAGGGGAGGGGTGAATACGAATTTAGTAATGCAATTGGCGTTTCAAATTCAAATTCAAATGTTTATTCAGGTAAAGTACATACATACAAGGGGTGATACAAATATTGATGAATTTATAGATAAAGCTAGTGCACACAATGCCTACAGCCACTATTATGCAAAGCGTTTCGGGCAGGAAAAACACTAAAGACTAAAACTTAATACTAATTGAGATTAAAGTATAAAATGAGTTGAGAAAATATAAAAATATAAAATATGCATGTTACCCAACATGCATTCATGCTGCTGAAAGTCTCGTGTGTTTATTTTTCATACTGTAGTGCATTGGACTGGCTTTGTTGACCCTTGGTTTTGGCCAAGCTTTGGAGGGGGAGGGGGGCCAAAGATGTCTTTAGCAATATGATATTATAGGTTGTCAACTGGTTGAGCAAGCAGAAATACAAAAAAAAAATTGCTTTCAATGTGTACTGGTCCTTATAAATGGGCCTATACTTAGATTGGTTGTTCTTGCCATATATTAATTTTGAGTATTTGTGTAAATTGGAACTTAGTGTGGTGAAAAGATTGTGAATGTCTTGGGTTTCTCTCCTAATAAAGGGTGGCCCCACTTGATTGGAACATGGGGTCACAGGAAGTAGTTGAGCTTATAGCTGTTGTTGTGAAGTGCAATGTATTTCTTAAGCATTCTGCATCAAAGATTTGTATGAAATATAAAAAGAATCATAATGTTAATGACTCTTCTTAGGATAATTAGATCTCTAGATCAGTTAATCAGATCAGTCAAAATCTGTCTGTATCTGTGCATGAGGTTCAACCACTGCAAACCACCTAAAGTCCTTCACCCAGCAAAAATCTGTTGGAACCATAATAAACTCTGCTTTCAGACAACACTCGGCCCCCTTGTTTAAATCCCTAAACATGTTAAACGTAAACTCGCTCGACAGTCTCTTGTGCCACCTACATTTACAAAACCATTCTTAAATGCAAATCCTGCTCTGAAACTCTCCCTGGTCAGATGTAATAGGACCCCATTATCACCACATCAGAAATAAATCTCTTTGATATCCCCATAGTCAAACTTAATCTCTGTAAACACTATGCAAATAAAGGGACCTGGTCTGTGAAACGCTAATGAATTGAAAATCTGTCCAACTTTTTCCTTATTCGAAAACAAAATAAAGTACCTAATTTCATTTTCATAAGTTTCCTATCTAGTGCTTTAAGCTCGCACTGTATCTAGTGCTACCCAATCCCACAATATATATGTACCTAAACCATACAACTTTACCATTGTGATCATTGCTGCCATCTTATGTGCTATCCATATGCTTTGTGCCTACTAATCTTTGTCAAATTATCAATCAAAGCTATCAATGTGCTTTAATATACCTACTAATCTCTCTCAAATTTTTCTTACAATGTACCTGTTAACTTTTTATAAATTTTGCTAGAATTTACCTACTTAATATTAATCGTTACGTTAAGGACCTGCCCAAAATGCTGTGCGTACTAGTGGCTTTACAACAATGTAAACACACTATGTACTGTACTCTCACAAACTTGATGTACCTTCTTGTATATGTATAAATAAATAAAATGAACTACAAAAGAAAACTTGCCCAAAACATTAAAGACAGATCCATAGTCATTCTATGCCTATATACAAAGTAAAACCAAAACTTGAAGGGTCTGTAGGATCCTAACCAAGTTATAAGATAAGATGAACCAAGTTATAATGGATGATGAAAGGGCAGTAAATACTCTAAATGAATACTTTGTCAGTGCTCACATATAGAAAGATTGGATGACGTCCCATTTCCCACACAAATATTTAAAGGTGGTGAGGCATCCTGTTCTCTTACAAATTACGTTTGAATTTGGCCGTTTGCCCGTATGGCCAAAAATGAACGCATGTACTGTAATTTGAAAATGGAAAAAAAATTTAAACAGCAAGTTGAGGGTCCTCCTGTAGGTTAGGAGGGCAGGAAATTCTCCTAAGGTTTAAAAAATCATGAAAACCGTTAATTGAAAGTTTCCTCTCGTAACCTAACCGAGTAAGCTGGAAGACCCAAACAGAAAACGGGACATTACATCACTTTCGTGAGCCGATTTCATTTCAAATTATGTCCATCTTTGGCTATAGCACGCATACGGGTGAAAAGCAGCTTTATTTTTAAGAGGCCGGGTTGTTCACCAGAGCAAATTAAGGGATATACGCAAGAGATATACATGAATTAAGGGATATACACGAATTAAGGTCGTGCTAAATGGGGATGAATCTGACTGGAGAAATGTGAGGGGGTTACCACAGTGGTCCGTTTTGAGGCCAACCCTTTTGTTAAATACATCAACAGCATAGGTGAGAATATTATAAACCACATAATCAAACCTGCCCGAAAATGTTATGCGTGTTAACACACTATATATTCATAAACCACACATTATCATAATCCCCGAAATTCTGCATGTTAGTGGCTTTGCAAGAATGAAAAAAATACCAATCTTGTATAATCTCATCAACCCATTGGTACAATGGGTTGACGAGATTACATAAGATTGGTATTTTTTCAGTATTCTTGTGAACAAATTATTATTAATTATTGTTAGTCATAATCCATCAAATATGCAGATGACTCTTAAGATTAATATTAAAGTGGAAAGTGAAAATGATCCTCCTTCGAGAGAGATCTACACAAGCTCCACAAATGATCGGAATACTGCAAATGCTTTTTAATATCGACAAATGCAAGACCCTGCATTTGGGGCATAACAATCCACGTCACAACTACCAGATTAACGGCATTACATTTCAGCAGAGTGATGAAGAAAAGGCCCTTGGAGTCAGAATCCATCATTCGTTGAAAATTGCACAAGTGTATAAAATTTTGTATATTTGGCTGTATAAAAGAAGGTTTATACCTTCTTTATACCTTTAGAAGGTTTGGTTTTGTATATTTGGCTGTATAAAAGAAGAAAAAAAAAAAAACTAATCAAACCCCTAAGAATTACCACGTGTACCTTTATCTTTAAGGAAAAGGTTGTATAAATCTCCAATAAGTATTCAATTGTACAAGTCTCTGGTGCAGCCCCACCTGGATTATTGCATCCATGCATGGAAATCTCATCTCCAAAAAGACACAGCTTCTCTGGAGAAAGTGCAATACCGGGCAACAAAAATCATTCCAGGACCTAGTCAACTCTCGTATCAGGAATGGTTGAGGGCCACAAGGCTAATACTGGAAACCAGGCATGACAGGGCAAAGATCATTGAAACTTTTGAAATACAGTACTGAACAATTTGAAGGATATTGGTATGGACAATATCTTCAAAAGGTCAGATGTAACACAAGTAGCAATGGTCTCAAGCTCAATAAGCCACAGTGTAGGACTAGGAAAAGGAAATGCCATTTCACCCACAGGGTTATAAACCCATGGAACCACCTACCCACTGAAGCCATAAATGGCAAAACTGTTAAATTCTAAAATCCAACTGGAAAAAGATCATAAGGACAAATGGGGGGGTGGAGGGGGACCTTCAACAAGCCACCGGCTTCCTGTCCTCATTGAGGCCACTAATGCTAGAGGCTCTTGGGCAAATAAATTAATTAAATAAATAAATAGTTTTGTTTAAAATTGATTCAGTACTGTACTACAGGTAGTTTTATGATCATAAAGGCTGTTCTGAAATGGTATTGTTTTATGAATGAAAATCTTTTATTATAATTATTTAGTAGCTTTAAGAGACATTCTCAACTATTTTGCCAAAAAGTTAATACTGTATCTGATGTTACAGGAATGAAAGTAATGCAAAATTTGTTACTGTACTTCATTTAGTATACAGTAAGGGAGTGACACGTACATGTGTCGGGCTAAGAATTGATTTTAGTTTCCTCTAGAGTAGTCAAGATGACACACATTAGTAAAATACACAGTAATACTGTAGCTAAAACTTCATAATTAATATTTTTAGATAAATAGTATTTCTTGGAGTTAACGTCCAAATCTAGTTGCAGTACTGTACTTTGGGCCTCATAGCTTCACCAAAGCTCTCAGCATGTAGCTATGTTATCTCTTGCAAGATAACTATATGATGCTTCAGTATTAGGTAGTCAGTGTACTCTTAGGTTCCTCTTGGTAGGTTAAATTGTAAGGAATTTACAACACAACTTTTTTTCTTTAGTCATTTTAATCAGTAACAAGTCTGCTTCATATTTCAGGTATCTAGTCTTTCAAGATTTTGAGACTTGACAGCAGTACTGAATAATAATAATTTCATAAAATGTTATGGCAGATTTAATTACTATGTTGACATGGGTGTTGTGAATGACTTCCCTCGTATAGTTAGTCCAGTGCATTATACAGATGCTTAGAACACAGAACTGGCTCTTCTGACTTGTCATTCTGTCATTAGATATTAAATGGGATATTTCTTATAGACTAAGATGTGCATCCAAAATGCTGGTTTTAATTGCTAGTTTACATAGAATAGAGGAATTTGTCCTAAATCATTCTCATTTAATATGTTTATATTTTCACGCTGCTTCAGACATGGAGTAGCGGTAAGGACACAACCCCTCATGCATTCCTCTATCACTTTCTCTTCTTTTATAGGAAATATTTGGTTTATTCTGTAATCAATTGGACTGGAGACCAACGCTTATACAAAGGGTAAAATTGTTGAGTCGTTATAATGCAATAACAAAGCTGAGCTAATACTGTATTCAAATTAGTGATAAGTTGCTTATCTTATTTACTAATGTGTCGTGAGCAGGTGTTACAGTAACTGGTCTGAAACATTAATTTTTAATACTTAATACATTGTGTGCTTGAGCTAATCCCTTTTAATAATGACCTGGAACTGGTGTTCCCGTGCAACGTGGTAATCATGTGGTATAATAATCTTCCCCGGCTCTTCCCATTCTGCATAATTGTACTGTACTGATGATACTTTTTGGCAGATATTTAGATGATGAATCTTTACAATGGGATGGTGATGGTCTCTCTTGTAACATTTGTGTAACTATTGTGGTATTGTTGAGGTTCTTAACACAAGTACTGTACTGTAATTGTTGCTAGTTTTAATGTACTGTACTCCTAACAGTGTGTGTGTGTGTGTGTTTTTATAAGTAATGTTCAGCTTATTAAATAGTTGTAATTGAAAGTTATTAGCATAAATGATAGTGTATTCATACACACTGCTTCAGCATAAGATTTTTATTTACAAATTTGGTAAAGAATTTTTTGTACTATAATAAAATCAATCTTAATATTAGCTTGTTCATTAATGGACCACCCATATAATTATTTCTAATCATGCATACCTTTCTTCCCCTTCCAGTATCACCAGTAAGCTTCGGTTTAAATAGCTTCTCTCCAAGCCTTACAAGTAGCGAAGACGAGGTAGATGAGGCGGAGCCGGAAGGGGGAGCGTCAAGAGTAGCTGGCAGACCGTGTGGGAGACTAAGGGCTGTGGAAGAAAATGGGAACTCTGAGGATGACAACGATGAGGGAAAGACACAAGTTGTCATTGATAGCTTGAAAGATTTTGCTTTTGTGGATGATGCCAAGATGCCAGCAGTCAGTGAAAATGAACAAAGCAGTGACAATGATGATGCAACCAGTGGTCCATGGAGATATAAGGAATTTAATAAGGAATATGAGCCCTTGAAAAGTGTTGAGCTCCTTAGAAATCTTGGAAAGAATTTTAGTACGTACCTTCCCCCACATTCCATTGGAAGTGATACAGAGACGGAACCTTGACCTTGTTGAACGTTACTGAGCTGTGCTTTATCTTTTTAATATCCTTTGGGATAAATGGTGCATTTACCATAGCATTTACCATACAAATGCATACTTATGTCATGTTGACTGGTTGTGTTGTAGCAATGCCATCATTTTGTACTTCAGTTCTAGCATATTGTATATATATTCACATCATGAGGTCACACTTCATTTGTATGTCTACATTCCATGTTAATTTCAAATCTCATGTAAGAAATTAGGTAGTACCCTGTATTGTTTTTCTTGAGGTTACTGGATTTTTTTTTTTAATCGGCTTTTAAATTCAAAGCTTTTAAGGAATACAATGTTAAAAAGTTTATAAATAATGAACTAGGTCATGATGTTTTTAACTGCTTTGCTTATCTCTGTAAAGGCAAATTGTTTTGGTTGTGAAATTAAACGTCTTGCCTGTCAAAGCATTGGGAAAAAGGTTAGGGCTTTCATACTAAAGAATGCAGTCAGTGAAGTTTTCATGGTTTTTCTTTTTATATAATATCCTTTTAACTTGGCAGCTGTGCTAAATGCTGTAGATAGTCCTCTCTACCAAAGATAAAGTGGTGTATGGAATTTAGGTACACGGTAATTGTAGATTATATTGTAGTCAAATGGCTTTTGTGTGATAATCACATTGAGCAATGGGAGAATGTTGGAGATAGTTATTTCAAAATTCGCATACAGTATTTTGAAAGAATTTTATACTGGTGAATTATTGTAATAATAAATTTGTACTCTTATGCTTCAGGATGTGAAAGATCTTGGGCTAAGAACATGACACAAAATTGAAGTTTGAATATTAAGAAGCTGCAGACTGATGTAGAATCATGCCATCTTCTGTTCCATTGGCTGCCAGAACTTTGCTGATCAGCGGATCATGTAATAAATTGTTCAGCATAATGAACGACTTTTAATTTTCTTGCTGTATTTCAATTAAGGTCCAACAAGTTTGCGATGCAGTCCCATGCGAGACATTACATAAGTTGGAATGTGAAGGAAAGTGCTGCAATGAATAAGGAAATACCTAAGCAATAGAAGGTAAGAAACCTTTGAATTTGAATTTTTTGAAGCCAGTAAGGAGGGAATCAGGAGTGTTTATAGCACTTGGTATAGAGCTGCATTGCCGAGAGGGAATGTGATGCCGCATAGCACACGACACCAAGAAATCGCGAATTACAGGGAGAGCACGAATATTGAAAGTGATGTTCCTGGATTTCTAGAATGGCCTTGGTCACTGTGGCAATCAGAAAGGTCCATGTTTTTGTTGCAATGTGGTGCAGGAGAACAAGTGCCAAAGATTGTAATATTGATACCTCTTCCCCTCTGTTTGGCTTTTGCAAGTGTCCCAGCATAGCTGCCCACTTCAAAGCTCATCTCGTATATTTAGTGCTGCTTGTTTACATTTTTCAACAATGTGAAGGTGTTCCCTAGAATGGTTTTAAGCACTACAGGAACTGTTTTTCCTGGTTGCCATTATTGATTTTCTTTCCCACCCACTGGAGTATTCTTCGCTCATAAAGTAGATGATCTCATTCGCTGCTCTTGTAGACTATTTCTCCATTCAATGCCGACTCTAACTTGCAGTCAGTACTATGTCATCCTGTACTACCAGACATGGCTTTAAGTTGTCTTAACTTAGACATTTTACTCAGAAGTATGTTATTCCACGGCCCACGTGTTTGTTACTCTATGGAAATCCTCTTCTATATAAATGATAATTTATTTTTAATCCATTTGTCTTGTTCTAATAATAATAAATTTTTATTTACTAGGTACAAATGGGTTTAAGAGATCTCATAAGATGAGCATTTTGCATTCTTGCAAAGCCACTAACATGCCTAGCATTTTGGGCAGGTCATCATGTTTCACCTCTGAACTGAATTATCAAAGGCTCCTACTATATTTAGTCTTGTGCCATATTTCCTGATGGATGTAGATGCACACTTCTCCATTTGTTTTCTCTAAAGCTGTCTAAACTATCCTATGTTTACCCGTTTATTCCTTTGCTTCTCCATTGACCATTCTTCACCTAGATTCTTTGAATCGTACAGGGTTACACCTTGCCTTTCTTTCATCCCCATTTACAGCTTATATTTTGAAATTGGCATTCCATCCCTACAGGGTCATGGCAATCCTTACTTCCTTCAGTATTTTGCATCGTCTCGACAACACCCTCTTCTCATTTGTGCCATGCTCTGACTACTTTCCATCTGGAGGGACCAGTCATCTCTGCATTTAATTTTTGCCACAAGGATGGTTTGTTTGGAAGATTCGGTTCACCTGTTCAACACATTCCCTTTTGCACAATGTCATGTTAACGTGATGTATCAATGAGAAAATCGGCAGGAGCCACAAGGAAGATTCAAACTTGCACACTTTGTACCCCAAGTGGGCTTGGGATAAGTGAAGGGATAAGTAAATATGTATCAAATGTGGGGATTTGGATACTCCTTATGGCTCCTGCTGATTTCCTTGCCTGCCCTCATGTTGTTTCTACTTTATCACCATAGTCTTGCGTGTGAAATGTTGCAAGGCTCTGACATGCATTGGTAAAAGCTTATACCCTTACTACTGTTATGAAATGCCATTTCTTTTAAAAGTTTTCTTGTTATTCACATTCTTGCTTTACACAGGTGGGTCAAAGTCTGCCGAGTTTTTGCTGCTACATTATTTTTCTTGATCAAACCTATGTATGCCACATGGGTCAAAACAAGCAGCTGGGGAGACTCGGAATGCTGGTTAGAATCCCAAGAGTGCTCCAGTGTGTGAAACCCTATGATGTGACCTATTCCCATGTTCTTTCTCACCACCCTTGTGCTCATTGCATTCCTTGTATGGACTGCACACACTTATACCCATTACACATTTTATACTGGTTGCACATATTTTGGTTGTACATCCTTGTGCTAGTTGCATCTTGTATTGTGAAATGTTGGCCTATGGAATACATTTCACATTAGATTGCCTGCGCTAGAATGAAATGCCTAGTTTGTGTGTAGTTTTACCATCTGTAAAACTTGTGCACTAAATGTATTTTTAACGTTCAATAATAAAAGAATTAATTGCAGTCTCTCTCGACTGACTTCTCGTAGACTAGTTTATTAGCAGTGCTAGAAGGAATATTTGTCCAAGTTGTTTCCAAGTCATGTGTGCTTGCTTTATATCCCATTGTTATAATGTACTGTTTACTTATCACACTTTATCTGTTTATAGATGCTGTAACTGAAGAGAACTTGAAATAATGGTGTCTGAAGATCCGATGACAATAAAATGGGAACAAGTCAAAGGATCCTTTCATCGAGCTGGAAGAGGCTGCAAGGAGCCAGAGAAGAGAGAGTTAGTCTTAACCCTTTTATATCCCAGCTGCGTTGGGACATCCATGAACATCCATGCCACTGTTCATGCATTGAACAATGTATATAAAGATTGAAGGGTCATACACTGAACCCATCCAACAATATCATGGCCAATGCTCAAAGCAAAGCATATGGGCACTACTTTGTCTACCAAGTTGCATTTTTAACAAAGTGGTCAATTGTTAAAACCATACTCGAGATGGTTTGCATGGTTACTGTGGAACAATATTTTACACAATCGTCAGTGATAAATGCACTGTATGAAGTCTACAATACAAATAAATCTGTTCCTGGGACAGCTCAAAGGTTAGTATATACTAACAGTGTATAAAGATTCAATTGATTGAACAATTGTTCATTGAACAATGAACATTGGGGTTCATACACAACCAAATTTTTATAATTTTACCTAAAATTCCAATCATTATGTAATATTACCCCCCCATCCCCAGCACGTCTTATAAGCAAATCACTATACCAGGGTTCAGACAACTTGCTGCACAGTTATGCCAAGTGATTGCTTCTGATAACCTCACATGTGTACTTACGTGAACCATATCTCTTGCCCAAGTCACAGCAGATTGATTAGTATTTACTCTACTATAATAAACCATTTAAACTTTTTGGTTATCTTCAAATCACAAATTGGAGTTTTCCTGCCGGTATCTGAACTTTGTTCTGGACATTACCCGACAGAATAGCAGTGTTTGGGGTATAAGACTTTCTCTTGAGCTGCGTCAAGAAAAGATTTACAGCCATTGTACACCTCTACTGTATTCAGCAAGCCGTCACTGGTTGTGTATTGCTGAATTTGTAAATATTGTTCCATTCATTGTGTAAAGCTAAACAGTGAACACAAACCATCTAACTTAATCAACATGTTCTCCTACAAGGTGAATCTACAAAATTCGACCACTCCAGTCCAAACACACTGATCTTTTCATCCAGCTTCCTCTTAATGTGTATGAACCCCCAAAAGATATTGCAGTAGTATGTTTTTGTCCACAGGCAGTGACCATTTATAACAACTATATTGTTATATCTTTTATATCCCACTGTAACCGGCGGTAGGAAACGGCTCTGACTAGGTTACGTATTGGCCATACCCGTTTAACTCACGGTCACTTAATGGAGCGCTGCCCTGCTCCTTATTGTCCGAATTGCATTGTCCCTCTTACGGTCGTACATATCCTTGTTGAATGTCCTGACTTCCAGGACGAGCGTGTCTTGTTTTCCGACTGTCCCCCGCGGTTGCTTGTCCCTCGATAGAGTTCTTGGCGACTCGGATACTTTTGATATCGTTCGCCTTATGCGTTTTTTGTTCTCGTATTGGCATCCTTGGTGATATTTAGCGCCCTCTGATTATCCCGCACATTTGATGGTGCTACATAGCCTTCCCGGTTTGGTGCCTTCTATTGATAATTACTTGTGCTTGACCTGACTGAACTGCATAGCATGTCTGGCTTGCTGGGTTAAAACTGCCCTTTCCATTTTACGAACTTTACTTTCGCCTATTTTTTTTCTCCAATTAAAGCCTCGAAATAACGGTCTCGCCACTATGTTGGGACTCTGCCTCCAGTGATCTAATGTTATCTTGCCATGCTACAAACTGTAACCTATATAAAATATATATTATTGAATGCTATTGTTTGCTGTCCTATCGAGTTAACTTGAATTATAAGACCACCTATGCAGTCTAATCTACAATGCCACCCTATTTCGTCCAACTAGATTTGGCTCTTGTATGCTAATTGCAAGGATTTCCTGGGTGTCTTCCCACTCCCCTAAATCCCACCACATTCACTATTATTGACCAATCTTCTCTCCCATCATACTCCTCCCCTTTTCCACATCTCCCGCTGAGGCACAATGTTCAAACAAACTTTTAAATTTACTTAAGCTGTGAAAATTGCTCCAGGAAGTGATAGTTTTGAGGAAGGCTAGACAAGTTTGCAAATATAGATATGGCTTGGGAAAATCTACACTGGTTAATTGACAATTGTGAGGCGGAGCCAAAGCTCGACCTCCGCAAGCGCAACTAGGAGAGTAGGAACTGCTAAGTTGAGCTTTTACTAGGAAAATACAACCACGGATGTATTCATTATTCTGACCTTAGACATGTGACCCAATCTGTGGATATAAGTTATGAAATTAAACAATGTCATTGAAAAATTTTGTACATTAAAAATTAGTTCAACTGAACAAAAATTAAGGAAATGTTCAATTGAAATTTTCAAAGCTTGTCTGAACACATTGGGATTCAATTGCTTAATTAATGATTAAATTATTAATGGTTCAATTACAAAATGTTCAGTTGAACACATTGGGGAAATGTTCAACTACAAAGGTCGATTGAACAAACAAAATTTTCAATTGAACATTTCCCCAGTTCAATTTAACAATTTGATATAATGTTCAATTGAACATATTCTCAACTTGTTCAATTGAACATTTTCTCAATTGAACATTTTCTCAATTTGTTCAATTGAACATTTTCTCAATGTGTTCAATCAAGCTTTGGGAAATGTTCAGTTAAAGCTTGATTGAACACATTTTGAAAATGTTAAATTGAACAGAGAATGTAATTATTAAATAAAATGCAGAATTGTTGAAATGTTTTATTAGTGCTCTACTGTACTAAACCAAAAACTTCACATATATCCTAGTTGCTACACCACCTGGAAAGGAAAAAAAATAAAAAGTAAAATTATATTACAAATATAAACAGTGGGAGGGAAATCAGTAAATATGAACAATTAACTCGTTCTTAGATTAATGCAAAAATTGCCAAACCAGACATGTATGAACATCCATGCCACTGTTCATGCATTGAACAATGTATATAAAGATTGAAGGGTCATACACTGAACCCATCCAACAATATCATGGCCAATGCTCAAAGCAAAGCATATGGGCACTACTTTGTCTACCAAGTTGCATTTTTAACAAAGTAGTCAATTGTTAAAACCATACTCAAGATGGTTTGAGACCGTATTTCGACAATATTCGAAGGGTTCTAATGTCAGTCAGGATGCCAATACGAGAGAAAAGAGTGAAAAAACTGGTGATGTGAAAGGCATCAAACTCGCTAAGGCTTCTGTCGAAGAAGAGTGACTAAGAGACAGTGGGGAAAGAAAGATCCTAAAAAATCAAAAGTCTTACACAACCTCGTAGAATAATTGGGACAATAAGGAACAAGTCGTCGTTACATTGTCTCAGTCAAGTGTGTGTGCAAGGGGGGGGGGGGGGGGGGTTTACCATGATACACAGTCTAGCTAGAGCTTTACGTCATTGAGGTATGAAAGAAATCTGAACAAAGAATTCCTTTATGGGTGGTGGAACAAATACGAATGACCTTCGCAGCAGTATCTGCAAGTTTATTAAAGGTTACACCATAATGGCTGGGTATCCAGCAAAATGACTATTTGGTTAAAACGAGAATCTTACTGTCGAAAAATGGCAGAACGCAGCACCAAGCTGGACCTTGAAACTAGAGGGGAAGCTGAAGGAAAATGGGAAAATTGCCTCAAAAGCATAAAAGAAAAATTTATTTGAAAAGTCAAATGAATGTAGTTGGGTTTACACACCACCACTGTACCTTCAGGTCGTATGTGAAGTTTTTCCCAGGTCAAAATTAACTGCTACTGAGACTGATTGTAAAAGCAGTACGAATGTAAATATCAAAATCCACCAGAACATCAGAATACTGCAACATTTACGAAAACCAAATTGGAAGAATAAGCGACGATCTAAAAACCTGTCTACCTTTCATGTACCCTAGTCATAAAAGTATGTGTATACGTCTGGTAACATACATGTGTAAAGGAAGAAATGTATGGTTATCTCAGAATGTTCCGGTAATATGTTTGTTTGTGATGTGTGTATTTATGTATGAATACGTTGTACTGATCGGGGTGAGAATAGCTTGAGCTACCTCATTCCTTTGTGTGTATTTCACCTCAAACATATTTCAATTTCATGCACCAATTCTAACTTTCGCCACCTCCCCCCCCCCCAAACAATCCTAGGATCAACACTTACTGAAAGCCCTTACCTCCCAAAGTTAACTAGTTAACGCACATAATTCTTTCACTTTAATAATCGGATGGATAGGTTCCAGGCAAACATTCAATGAATTACTTCCACTATTTCTCCTCCGCCTCTATTTCCATCCTGTCACGAATACTCTCTCCAACTGTCATCGCCCCAAGAGCCCGTGTATGATTAAGTTACAGCAGCCCCACAGGTCTGCTTACACGATATAGCATATCCAATTTTATAACACTGGTTCAACGCAATGAAAATAACATTAAACTTTAGCAATTTAGTTCCACTTACTATTAGTACAGATAAATAGTAACTGATGTAGTCTTCCGCAAACTGCACCTACTATCAAGAAGAAAAAGATCTAATCTTCCTTTTTAGAATCCCACTTCCTCCCAAGTGTGGTTCCTGTTTAAATTGTCTTTACCCCCACAACCTGAAAAATAGAAATGCAGTTTTATCATTTACACAAGGTAATATTTGCTGTGAAAATGTGTACAATGCCCGCTGTCTTCTTCCTATCTAGGAAAGGGGTAGAGGGTGGGGGGTAGATAAAGCTTAGGAACTTTTGCATTAAGAATACGAGCACAAAACTCGCCAAATAACCCAGGGTGATATGAAGGGACACGCAGGCTTGGACAGAAGGCAAGCTAGTAGGCTTGGAGTTACGATTATTGGGTGGGGAGGCCATTTTTATAAAATTGTTTTTATAAATCTTTATAGTATTGTAATTCTATTCTACTGCGTGCAAGTAGATGATATACATTACACGTACATGAATACACCCATGTATAACCCATTCATATTTATCACGTTACAAAAGTTACTTAAGCAGTTTGAAATGGTGGCCCACAATTCTCATCTGGCCTTATTACCATCTTTGCACGGCCTTGAAGATATTGCGGTAAATGGAAGCCACTAAAGGGGCAGACAAAAACCAATAGATGGGTGGGAGGGAGGAGAGCGTACAAATCAGAGGGGGAGGGGAAGTGACAGACGCCCATTTAACCGGGATTAAATTACCTTACGTCCTCAAATGAAAAATTACGAATACTTTGTCTACCTTATAAATCTTTCCCACAACTATTTGCATCAAGAGCACCAGGCTGTTCAGTTCCCAGAACGTCTACAGTAAGAGCACCAGGCTGTTCAGTTCACAATTTTACTTCTGGGGGAAAAAAATAGTATTTACACTCCGTAATACTTATGTAATTATATTTTCAAAGCTCAAAATATAAATTTAAAGTGAAATACGCATTTATGGCAATGAGAGTAGTTCAATGCAGGAATAATCGTGCATTGGCCCCAATATTCTTAAAGATGGACGTGTGGGTGACAGTCAGGCAAGGCCAGCGACTAGCTCTATGTTCTTTCCTTGTCTCAGTTGTTAATAGTATGGGATACGCTCGTATGCATGCTATTACTGTACACGGCGCACTACAATACAAGTGGATTGTTACCGAACCACCATCGTAATATTCCACAACTCAGTCATTATATCTTTATATAAAATCCCTTATCACTAAACTATTTGTACGTTCCTGATTTCCTTAAATATATAAACCTTAAATACACTGTCAACCCCCTCCTCGAGACCTTTTTCGCACTAAAAACTTTAAATATAATTACACCGGGCCGGCTCCACGCACATTGGACCTCAACCACAAGACAAATTGCCACCATTAGATTTTGCCTTACATTACTCGCACGGCCCTCATGGCCTCACCCAAGGCATACCGATATTACCTTCAATCGTCGAGAAGTATCGACGCGATCACCAGCTGCTCACATCGTCACTGGTCCTAAGCCAGAGCTACACTGACCCAACCCTCCACCGCCTCGACCATGGAGTCACTCAAAACAAGGAAGCAGCGGCGACTAGTCGTTCGATGTTCAGCTTGACAGCCGTCGTCAAGAATAAAAAAAATCAATCAATATACAAGTCAGCATTTGACATTCAAATTACCATGAATTATGCATATTTAGACAATATACTGTATAAATATATTGTATCACCGTCTATAAGAAATACAAATGATAAATGGGAAAAAAAGAATAAATTTCTGGAAATGCGTGTTGGGTTTGGAACGCTATGATCCACATTTTGGAGGCGCTACCGTATTACATTATTGTAATGCATTAAGAGACTCCACATGCTTGTCCCCCAGCTAGTCACCTGTACATACACCCACACTAACATTCAGAGGCCAATTCACCCACCTGCTGGTTCCCCCACACAGCACAAACCCTCACTCAACCTCCCACCTTCGCACACTGGTTTTAAATACCGCGGTTAATGAATATGTGAATGGAGGAATGCTGAATAAATTTCTTACAATGTATACTGTAATAACGTATGCAATAAAGTATATAGTGTCTGGACGACACATTCATAAATTTGGAAAAGTCAAATGACATGAAGCAAAATGATTGGTTTGGTGTTGGGTTAAAGCCTATCAACTTCTGGAGGGTTACAGTGACCTCTACAAGTGCTTACTGAATAACCAGTAAAAATACTCTAGTAAACTCTCAGTGTATGTATACCGAGACACGGGGTACACCTGTGTATACTAACTGCAAATTGGTACTCGGAGCTTATTAATATGAACTATGATAACTGAGGTCACTGAAAATGCCCACTTCGGGAGACAAAAGACAATAGCCACTTGCTAACTTGGAAAATATTAAGAGAAATAGGAAGATGTTTTGAAATTTGCAACCTAACAAATCATATAGTCAAATCATTAAAGATAACCGATTTGATCTTGATATCAACAAAATTGATAGTGAACAACAAAGCCAGTTAATTCGAATACGATCTGCATCAGCAATTCTCAGCGAGAGGAATGATTGCAGGGTCTCTCACGCTTAGTTTAACACGCATTGTAATGTTTGAGATTTACCTTGCTGTTGCAGTTTCAATACCCTGGGAATACCTTACGGTGGAAGGGGGGGGGGGGGGGAGGATTCAACTCAATTATGCTACAGAGCGCATGTCTGCAAGTTTCAATACGCGGGGCACATTTATAGCGTTTCTTAGGCTTCTAATATACTTATATACAACATTTTTTGAACATTAGAACAAAGGTAGCCCCCCTATAAACACCCAACCCTACGTACTCTTATTGGTCTAACCTGTGGTTAAACCAACACTCCATCCACGTCTGTTACATTACCTGGCATAGTATTCATAGGCCGACAATCCTATACCAAAACTGGCGTTTACCCAGGTCTTTTCTCAAGCAAACTTATAAATTTGCATCCTTTGTATCATGTTCTATATCATGATATATTTACCTGCAACACCCTACTAAACATTCGTATACTTCAATTATGTCCTTCCTTATTCCACAGAATAACACAGCCCCGCTCCTGTGCCGGGTAAGTCCACTAATGGACTCGCCATAGCCCGTGTTACTTGAAACGTTTTGTTCCTAGTAGCTGAATCTAAAACACATTAATCATGAAAAAACAGTATTCATAAAAAAAACCATTAAAAGCTTTTCACAGTTTGGGAAAAAAGAAATTTCAACTACGTAATAACTTTAAACTACCATAACAAAACAATCTATAACTAAAACAACAATGCAAATCAAATTCCTTTAAAAACACTAACTCTTGACCAGAGTGCTGGAGTACCTTAAGGCTCTGCCCCACTAACGTTATAGATTCTCTACATGAATGATATTCCCGACCCAATACACCACAATTCACCATATGCTACGCTGATGACATCACTCGACTCTCTGGCCAACTTATAACTACAAGCTGACGCTGACATTAACGAACATCCTGGGAATGTGACGGGCGCATACAAACTCAACAAAAATAGTTCTCCGGGGCTCCGAGGGGATCTCCAGAGACAAATCAAGATATGAGAAGCAGATGAGAAATAAATATTGATGCACACACTTGGACCTGATCTTCTTAAGCATTCTGGCCAACAATTAATGAGTTATGACAGTCTGGAGACGCACAGGTGCTCTAAGAGACCACCTTTGGTATACTAAAAAATAATGTGCTCTTAGAGACCATCTTCGTACACTGAGAATAGAGAGGTGCCACCCACCTTTTAGATTCACATTGCCGGCCCCCTCCACCCCACCCCCTCCCTCATTGTCACCCTCCCTCACACTGCTACTCACCCTCCCTCCCTCCCTCCTTTACACTGCAAGTGAGGGCCGTTTCTAAGACTGACACTATACCCGACCAATAAGGGCTGGGGGATCACCTCCGCTACCCTCCAAAACTAGCGCTCATGGGGGCTAAAGCTGTTAACTGTAGAACGTGTTACCTCCTGACAAATCAGTGTCGAGAAGTCCCCCATCGAGAAGCTGGGTCGGGAAGGAAACTGAGCTCCTGAAAGGGAGTCTCCATGGCAGAGCGAGCCGGGGCCGCCTCCTACAGGAAGTCCATTCCAAGAGTAACCTAGAAGGGAAGACGCTGCAATATGCATATGAAGTATATATCAATATGAAGTATTAAAATATGCAATCCAGAAATGAGCATGTTACAAAGTACTCGTCCCACTCAAAACGACTAAGAAATTGGCATAAAAAAGTCCTCAAGGAGGGGAGGGAAGGAATGATCAGGGGAAAGCGCTCAGCCATTACCATTATATAGCACTGGGAAGGGACCCGGATAAGGATTTAGGATGGGACGGGGGGGAAGAAGAAATGGTGCCCAACCACTTTGACGGTCGGGGAACTGAACGCCAACCTGCATGAAGCGAGACCGTCGCTCTACCAGTCCAGTCCAAAAAGGGAGATAAAGTATGCCTGGTTGATACCTGGTTACCTGGTTGATGGGGTTCTGGGAGTTGTTCTACTCCCCAAGCCCGGCCCGAGGCCAGGCTTGACTTGTGAGAGTTTGGTCCACTAGGCTGTTGCTTGGAGCGGCCCGCAGGCCCACATACCCACCACAGCCCGGTTGGTCCGGCACTCCTTGGAGGAACCTTACAGACCTCCGTAAAAGAGATTCCAGGCGGTATGTAAGCAACTGAATGATATTTCAGGTCTCGAGGGCAGAACTAGAGTGTCTGCTGGATATAGCTGGTGGCAGGTGGACACATACACCGTTCACCAGTTGACAGTTGAGAGGCGGGACCAAAGAACTACAGCTCAACCCCCGCAAGCACAACTGGGTGAGTACACATAGCTTACACTTCGGCACGCCTTATCACCTTCAAGATCAAGGCAGAAACAAATAGGCAGTTTCTTTCACTTGATGCCTCTGTTCACCTAGCATTAAATAGGTACCTGGGTGTAATACATGTGTCGCAAGCTGCATCCTAGGGAGGATGTGTGGGAGTTAATTATGATACGAGAAACAAGTCGGGAGTCAGTACACATACGAAGACAACCGACGCTTAAAAAGGCGGGTTTCAAGAGTTAACAGTCCGATCCTGCAGGCACAAATAATGAATATTATGCACAGATCCCGGAGGTTTCAGGTATGAGCTACGAGGAAAGGCTGCTGGAATAAAACCTCACGTCACTAAGAGAGAGATTAAGGGAGAATTACCACCTATAAAAAGTTTCCAGAGGAATTGACAGGATAGATAAAGAGAGACTATTTAGCACTGGTGGTACTAGCACATGGGGACAAAGGTGGAAATAGAGTACCCAAATGAGCCACAGACATTAAAAAAAGAACTTTCTATGTCAGTAGTTAATAAATGGAATGCATTAGGCAGTGATGTGGCTAACTCAATACACAGTTTCAAATGTAGATATGATAGAGCCCAGTAGGCTCAGGAATCTGTACACCAGTTGATTGACAGTTTGAGAGGCGGGACCAAAGAACCAAAGCTCAACCCCCGCAAGCACAACTGGGCGAGTGCACCCCAAACCTTCCAACTCATGAATATATAATAACGATAATCTGAGGAGCGCGCCTCGTATTCATAAGCCATGTGGCGAGTGTGAGGAGGGTAATGGGGAGGTGACCTGCATTACTCATGTCTGATGAGTAGCTCCTGGAAGATCAGAGGACCTCCATCCTGAGTGGTGGTGTGAGGTAGGAAGGTCAACAGCTTCCAGTTAGAAGAACAGCTTTAAGAAATTAAAAGGAACCTGAAATGAAATTTTACCAAAATAAAAAAGGGGGATCAAGAACATGCATTCCTATGTTCAGTAGAGATCCTAACTCTCCCTGGAAATATTAACCATTTGTGACTTTTCTAGCGAATCATAATCATTTATCTCTTCAAGTTCCTCTGATATTCCTGACATCGGTAAATGCCACAAGTGGCTGGAAGAGTAGTAGTATATATATCCGTACGTCTTGAACCCATGCTGGAGACGCTATTGTGCCGGACTCAAGGTCCAGCCAGTCTTATCACAAGGTGCGTCCATCCTAATGTGTAATGATGACTTTTCTGGCTACTTCGATATCAATTCACAGCTCCAGGCTATCGTTCACAACGTGCATGTATATTCGTAAGGATACACGTATGTATAAATGGTTTATCTGTTCAAGGATACGTCCAGCACCAAGGAGGTTATAAGACTGGTCCACTCGTTCTTCTGTAGGACAGGAAGCTTCGCTCTCCCGTCAGCGATGTGGTCCGAGTTTGCGGTGGTGGTGCTGGCGACGGTGGTGGTGGTCCAGGATGCGGGAAATGCCACTCTGGGCCAGGTGGTGGTGAACGCGGCACAGGTAATGAAGACAGAACAGGTGGCAGAAGAAACGGGCCAGGTGGCACACAAACTGGACCAGGTGGTGGAAGACGCTGACCAGAGCGTGAAGAGGGTAGGCCAGGTGGTACAACAGGTTGTGGAGCAGTACTTGGCCGGGTGCCACCTGGTGGTCGTGACTCCCCAAGTACACTCGCCTGCCTTCACCGACATCCTCAGGTAGGTGGACACTAGCATCGTTAACAACAATAATAATGCCGAGATATGAGAAACAAAACACAATGACGTTTGGACATTGAGGCAACGTACAGACCGTTGCAGGTGGCTGACTGCAGGCCAGCAGGCGAGCGTGGTGGTCGACTTGAGAACGCTTCTACCTGCAGGCCTCCACTACAACGACGCTGGCCAATCCCTTGCCAACGACTTCACCTGGAAGCACCTTGTTGAAGGAGACGCCAAGCTCACCTGCAGAGCTCTCCTGCTAGACCTAACCTCTCAGTCTTATACCGAGGTGCTTGAGTAAGTTGCCGCTCTCTAGTGAATACAAAAATTACCCAAAAACGTCTCTCGGGGTTTGAATTTTCAGGACAGACTGTTCTAGATCCCTTAAGAGCGCTTATGGTTTCCCCATGGTTGAGGGACAGGAAAGATTTACCTAGGTTTATTGAGATCTCTATAGGTCTAGACCAAATACTGACTTTTCAGAGGATACAACCCACAGCAGTTGCCTACCTGCCGGGTACCTAGTTACTGCTAGTTTTCCATGGAACACCATCTGCTAATAGGTTTACAGTAAACAGATCATGAACCCAATAAATATCGAGAGTAAAGAAGGATAACCTCGACAGTAAACATACATGACCCAACACAGCACACAAGCTACATCAGAGAACTGAGCAACGCATTGCACAGAGTTATTGAGGTACTGACTGACCTGTCAGGAGAGTTTGGAATGATGGCAGTAGGGAAGGGGCGGTCAGGGCGGTCGGTCCCCCTCGGGCTGATTGGCAAGCTGGCCAGGGCGACCTGGCTCATCCGGGGACACCATCGATGATCTGCAACAGTGTTAAATGACGATTCAATTTTCATATTTCGACACAGTGGTCTAGGTTCACGGACAAATAATGTATATCATTAATAGTGTGCACAGCTCACCTGATACACCTGCGTGTTGCCCTGTCCAGTAGTTGCCTCTACTGAACAGCTCAAAATGACTTAGTTCAGTTACTAACCTACACACTGTACCCTCTAACCTTCGTCAGCAGGTTCTTGAAGGAGGTGAAGCTGGAGCTGTGGCCCAAGACCAGAGTGGTAGGCGTGGGCTCCACCTCGCGGGCGTGGGAGGTGCTCAGCCACGCCAGTTTTCGCTACACCATACACGCCCTCTTTCTAGCCGCCAAGCCTACGCCCTCTATCTCCTCTTCAGCAGCTGCCGCCTGTGATCGCTCGGGTGAGGGTGCACCAATCTCCGTCTGATAAAGACCTTTTGTGCCCTGTGTAATGCTTTTTGCGCTACCGCTCACAGGATGAATATGGGGCGCACAATAAACTAGCCGCCTCCGGCGGCAACAATCAAAATCAATCACTAGGAGACCAGTCTGTTTACTCACCTAGATGTATACTTGCAGGGGTCAAGTGTCGGCTCCTAAGCCCCGCCTTCTGGACATTTTGCAGTTTAATACATTGATTCAGTCTAACCCTCCTTATGTTAACTGTGCCCTTTCACATCCATGTGGTGAGAAAGTTTGTCTCTCCCTATCACTGTCTCGGGCCCCGTTCTATCAAGTCTTGCAAACCTACAGTTCATTTAGTCCAAATCTGGCATCATTAATGAGCACTCATTGACAGCTACGCCCGCGTGCCCACAGGGGCGTGTGGAGGCGAGGTGTGGGCGTACTCCCGCTGCCTCTACTGCTCTGGGGGAAAGCCTGGGATGCGCTTGGTTGGGACATGGCGGCCTGGCCAAGGCTTCTCTCTTGGGCGCTCTCTCTTCCTAGGTAAGCAACTGTCCTTAAACACTCGTGTGTTGGCACATCTAAGTACAGAAAATTCAGGAAGTTTCAGAAGGCCTATCGGCCCATACGAGGCGGCTCCTATCACTGTCTCGGGCAGTGACAGGAGCCGTATAGATAAGACCATATCTATACCCCTATCAAAGGGGTATAGATACGGCTCCGGCTCCTATCTATAGGATAGGAGCCGGAGGAGACTATAGATAGTCTCCTATCTATATCTATAGTCTATAGATAGGAGTATCTATAGACTCCTATCTACAGGATAGGAGTCTATAGATAGGAGCCGTTTGGCTCCTATCTATACCCCTGCCAAAGTTACTTACATGCGAGATTAAACTAATTTAGTTGAGAATGAATAGGAGCCGTCTCGCATGGGCTAACAGACCTTGTGTAGTTTCAAATATTGTTATGCCTAACACTCGAGGGACTCCTAATATGTTAGACATTTTCTTGAGGCAGTCTTGAGTTACTTGGATTAGTTTTTGCATTTTTGGCTTGTTTGATAATTCCCCCCCCCCACTAAGTCTAAAAAGATTCTCAGCTCATTTTAATCACTTTGTGAACTACTGTATATGAATATTTTACTCTAGAGTTAACTATAAATTTTCCAGAATTAAATGTTGGAAACTTTTCAGCATTTAAAATCGAACCAAGTGCACTTCAAAATGAGTTCGAGTACATTAAATATTTACAAGATTTTTTTTTTTATCCAGAGAATGGACATTGCAAAAAAAAACACATCCAAGTATATTAACAAAAGGTATATTGATTCAGACCCATATTTTTGAATTTCAAATGACCAACAGAAAATGTTCTGGCTTACGCTGTTGCCTTTCCAGAGGGCTTCGAGGACATGAAGGGCGGGCTGGTGCGGGTGGTGGCCAAGGACTTCTTCCCCTTCATGAAGTTCGACAGGAACACCGACGAGCCCGGCTCTGTCGTCACCCCGAGGGACAGCGTCGATGTCCGGCTCCTGAATTGCGTCGCCGAGGGCCTCAACTTCACGTAGGTCTTCCTCCGGGTCATAAACGTCAAAGTGGGATCAATAGATTGTTTCAAGCGTAGGTCAACCATATGTATGAACGAGTTAGGCTGGACACAGACGCTGCCTCGCATTGAGAGACCTCGCATGCCGTTTCCGCTTTGTGTTCTCCATAGGTACGAAATACGAATGGATCTGAGAGACGAATGGGGTACGGTAGACAACGGCACCTGGACGGGACTCATTGGCACTGTGGTGGAGGACAGGGCCGACATCTCCATGATGCTCTTCGAGTCGTACCCCAGGAGGCAGGTCATCGACTTCACCAGGCTGTACGCCAACGAGCCCTTCATCATGGTCGTCCACAAGCCCAGGTCCCAGCCACAGTACTTGGCTCTCATGAGGCCCTTCACAGGTACTAAGTCCAAGTGTATGGCACTTGGTGTGCTCCTCAACAAACACTAGATCCCAGAACCTGGCACTTGTTAGGTCTGGCACCCAGCATTTACGCCATTCACAGGCACCCAACACTTAGGACTTGTTAGGTCCAGAGACAGAACTTAGCACTTGTTACGCACTTCATGAGCATCCAGCCTTAGACCCTAACTCCTGTTAGGCCTTTTACCGGTACCGATAGAGGCCACATGCAAATATTACCTCGATACAAGATCATATCACGTATACCTCTCTGACTGATCGAAGAGTGAGTAGGTTCTAAGACCTGGTGAAAGTATTCACGTCTTCGCTACTCGATACGCAAACCTAACCCACTATCATATATATACATAACCTAACCTATTATCCCAAGCAAACCCACTTTATCCCAACTTGACAACGTAACCCATCGTATCCCAACTTAAACATATTTTAACCTGTTGTGTTGCATGTATGGTGTGCACGTCACTGACGTCACGATGTTCGTAACGGTACAAAAAAGGGTTTAGATCCCACTGGGAAGAATCCTGTCCCTAGTTACGCCATATATAGGGTACAAGATTTATGACTATATATTACTGCAAAGAACTGCCTCTCCTAGTTGTACTGCAACTATACTGTATGCAACAAAATAACATTACAAATTGTTGCTCAAATCCTTTAGGTAAAAACCATGCAGTTTACAGGTAAAGGGAGGCAGCGCTCGCATAGCATAAATAAAAGACGCGCGTACTCGAACAGGAAGATTTACATTTGATCTAGGCAGCCAGCGACTCACAGGCCGGTTTTGCGCGTTTCCTCTGTGGTCGAGAACAGCATCTACAGTGTTTCGGCGACGTAACGTTATGGTACAACAGGTAAATACTAGCAAACATATATATCGTACACCCCCATTCTTAAAATATCAAACTTACCTGGGTTCCTCTCCGTCCTGGGTGCAGTGGAGCTGTGGGTGGCGGTGCTGGTGGCGACGTTCGTGGTGGGCGGGATGCTGTGGCTGCTGCAGAAGGTGTGGGCGAGGTCCTTCGGTCAGCGAGGCTTGAACCTGAGCACCTCCCTCCTCTACATGTGGTCCATAATGCTGGAGGAGCCCTTCGTCCACCCGCCCCCAAACATCACCGGGCAGGTGCGCCAGCTTGCTGTCTTACCATGCCACACTCTTCATCCATATCTATAAAACAGAATTCCTGTTACACACACAGATCACACTAACGTGATGCATCAAATGAACAAATCCACAAGGGCCGTGGCGAGGATTCGAACCTTGGGTGCAGGGGGGGAGTTGTGTAAAATCCTGGTTTGTGCCTCTGAGAGGTTACGGGATCCAGTAAGTTCAGTAGAACTTCGGTTTCAACTCTTTTTAACCCTGTCGTAGTTCAGTCGATTAAGGCAGTGTCTGGGATGCTCCCGGATGCAGGTTCGAATCCTCATCACGGCCCCTTGTGGATTTGTTCAGAATTCCTGTCTGTTCGGAGGTGGGAGGCCAGAACGCCGGCGGTCAGCCCTCGCCCAATTTTGCATAGTGATTGCTGTGGAGTAGGTGCCCAACATGGGAGGGTCGGGGTCGGTCTTGTTGCTCATTCAAATGTTTCATGCTGCAATAGAGAACCCCATGAAAGACACTGGCACTGGCTTAACCATCTAAAAAAATAAAAACTTTCTTACTACTGTATGTCAAAATATTACACACTGATCTTGGCAAAATTTTTAAATTTCTACCCGTACTTTACACAAGAAGTGTTGATGACATGGAAAGCACTCAGTCGACCCAACCACCAGTGAATCACCTACTACATCACTTGTCCCGAACATGTACGTGCCCAAGCCTAGAGAATGCTACAGCAACAAGCTGTAGCAAGAGACAAAGAGCAAGAGAGGGAAGGATGTTCTTGGCATTATTTACGATCCCGTACATGTTCTCATCCTGAGAAGGTCAGTTTTTGGCCCTAGGGGGAAAGGGAACGTGACATCGATAAGCCAAATGGGCTTCCTGTCAACACCTGTGTCAACTAACAAGCCGAATTTCATTAAGAATTGTATTTGTTCTTAGATTTTTAACGTGTGGATTAACAGATTTTTTTTTAATTTGGAAGGAACGAGATGTGCAACAATGAAGCACACTGCTTGCAATTTGCAATAAGAGCCATCTGCAGCACAAACACGAATATCACCCCTTCAGCAATATTTATCTCAGGTGAGGCTGCACCTGGACTACACTCCAGTGCTGGTCGCCGCTAGCTAGCTAACAACGAATGCGCACACGACATGGCTGATACCTGTTAGCCTTGAGGCCTTTTTCTGTTCAGACGTTAAACAAGACGCAGAACAAAGATATATAATCGAAGTCTTCGAACAGGTTGAGTACATGCAAGGGAAAGACAAGTGGGTTAAGAGTACGTACAAGGGAGAGAAACATGGTTCTGAAATTCTCCCCACCGGGCAGACCCCGCAACAATGGGCACAAGCCGGAGAAGTGTTGAGAGTTTGTGGGTGTGTATATAATGGTTAAGTGACAGGGTTGTGGACCCAGACCCAGACATTCAGCACCGCTCCTGTGCCAGGTAAGTCCACTACGGGCTCACCATAGCCCGTGCTACTTGGAACTTGTTCCGAGTAGCTGAATCTATAACAACAACAAGGTTGTGGATAAGTGGAATGTGTCGCCAGCGAGCATCGAGACAGTTTAACAGGTTTCAAGACTAAATGGGACACACATGGTCGGGAGAGGTGTGGATTTAAGCGGGACCCGAATAGTATTGACCAACATGTTTGCTGCGTTGCTCTCCAATTCTTATATTCTCATATTAAGCGAAAAAAGGCACGCCAAATTTATAACTAAATTTTTAAAGATCAACGAAATCAACTGTAAAAGAACCAACTTTATGAACACATCTCAAGTTGATGTAAATAATGAACCGAAAGTCTGTGTAGACTAAATTACAAATGTCTAACGAAAGTTTTTGATTTGATTAACACGCTCAGATGGTGGTGGGTATATGGTGGGTGTTCTGCCTGGTTATCACTACCATGTACCGGTCCTCCCTCGTCGCCTACCTCTCCGTCCCCATCAACTCCGCCCCGCTAGACACAATCGACCAGCTCCTGGCCCACCCCGACGCCACCTGGGGGATGGAGCCCGGCTTTGGGCTAGGCTGGGACTGGTTCAAGTTCAACACCAACCCCAAGGTGCAGATGGTGTTTCGTAAGCTAAAGGTGAGTTCTAAATCGTCTCGTTTGGCTGGGAGACAGGAAGCCTGTAACAAAATGAGTAGGGGTGCACAACAAACTAGCTGCCTACAGCGGTAACGATTAACAATCAAAACCGGTTTCTCAACCTTACTAATTGTGACAGCTATTTCATTCTCCATAACCGCATCTTTATTTCAACCGAACAACAACCTCCTCCTCTCCCGCTAACTGTCCCTCCACCACAGATCCTGGACGTCGAGGAGCAGATGAAGGAAGTAATGGAGGGAAATCACGCTTTCTTCACGTGGAAATACTACACCAAAACCATCATTGCCGCTAACTTCACCGACCGCTACGGCAACACGCCCCTCCACATCAGCAGGGAGGAGTTCGTCCAGGGCTCCACGGCCTGGGGAGTCAGGTACCGTACAGTAAATGGTGTAAATGGTTAATTTCATGAGGCGCCCTTGTCATGGGGGCTTTCGTTTACATTTGGACATCATGGAGGGTATTCACATCTTAGAACACCCATTTCCTCGAGGAGATCCACTTTGTGCATTTGTTGCGGTCTTTATTTGGTGATGGGTTCACTTAATCGTCCAGATCGTGCCGTATCCCCTTGGCAGGGGGTTGGAGCTGCTAGTCCATCGGATGACCCAGTACATCCACCTTGGAGATAGGCGGATAACCCAGTATATCAGTATTCTAAGGTGTGCAAAATATACATTAATCTGTTTTTCGGGTTTCCACCCTTGCAGGAAGGGGCTGCCGTTCCTGGAACCCATGGATAGAATCCTCGACCATTTGGTGGAGAGTGGGCTGGCGAACTATTGGTTTCAAGAGCTCTTTAGGTACGCCACAGAGAAGGCCAGGGAGGAGAGGATGAAGGTGCAGAGGGCCGGCACTTCTGCTGGCGACTGGGGTACTGTTGACGGCGAAGTCGTATTTTCTTCCGATTCAAAGGTGAGGTTCCTATCTGCTCGATGTAATACTTCGGAGAGTTGAGGCTGTTTACGGCAGCAAATTGGCTATTCTGCTTGGTAATATGATAGGGTTATATTCTTTATATATTCTTTCGCCGGTTAAGTCATAACAGTCAACATTACTAAGATAGTAATATCTATTAGTAATTAGTAAGAACTAACAGACTCGTTTCTGGCATGGCTTATGTTAACTTAATTATTTACATAATTTCTAATTGTGAAAAAAAGAGAGTTTCACAGCAGGATTTAGCAGCCATTCGCAAGGAATTCTTACCCACGGAGCTGGTGTCAGTAAGACCCAACATGACCCGGTTCACTCCCACAAGCGCCGCCCCTAGTTTTAACACAACACTTGACAACTCTCGCAAATACTACCTTAACGATCAATGCGGTCACTAATGGGAAGGCCCAGTAGGGCAATCTGGTCCTCTGGAAATCAGTAATGGGCGTGCAACAGTCACATGAAATGCTACTTCCACAAGAACGCACAAGAACGTGCGTTCTTGACTACTTGACTTAGGGGCTCACCATAGCCCGTGCTACATGGACATTTCGTTCTGAGTAGCTTAAAACAAGACTAATTGACGCACAAGAACGTTAAATAAAATTTAAAAAAAACTAGTTCATAAATGGTAGTATATTCATAATTGGGAAAATTTAGACAAGTACAGTTCATTAATTACACGAGTCATCACAAAAGTAAACATTGTCATCATATGAATCAAACTTAATCCGTAACACCTTATACAGATCATGTCAGTGCTAAACAGGTGCATAACAATCAAAATAAAAAATAATAATTTTAGGCAAAGTCAATGCATGACATTTAGCCAAGAATTAAAATATATTGTAAAGATAATTTATATCACAAAATTAGAATAACGAGACAATTGGCAGAACTACTGTAATATAAACTAATACCATGGCGAGGCATGTTTACACATCCTCAGCATTCTTTACATCAATAGATTTTGGGATTACCCCAGCTCAAAATCACTCCAAACCCACAGCTCATATAACATCGATCTGACTCGCAGCTGAGCTCAAAATGCCTGCCAGCACCATCTCTGTGGCATTAGTTCCTTAACTCCAAATATCCAACTCAAGTTGGATATTTGATAATATCCAATATGAGAACTCGAGGCGTTTCTTCAGTTGTTATCCTGTCCTGTAGACTCACCACCCCGTTAAAAATATCACTCATTCTTAAATTCTATTTCCTAACAATTAAGTATATATTTCGGGAAAAGTAAGAGTGGCCAGTGATAAGCAAGTGCTTGACAAAATAAAAATTGTATCTGAAAGATTATCAGCAACCTTTGATCTCACAATGTTGTCTCTTAATCCTCTCTTTATGGCTTGATATTGAACCCCAGTGTTACATCTCATTCGAGGTAAGCGGCCTTCTCTGGGGCACCCTGCCTCTTTCCAAAGGTTTTGGCCAATACATCTATTTAGGGATTCCTGAACGTGATCCTTCCAGTCAGGCCTGCCTCTCCGCCCGGCTGTCCCAGGAGGGATACTCTCATCCTCCGCCCTAACTCCCACTGATATAACAGATGAAGAAATGTCATCGAGTCCGTCTCTCAATCGCAAGATGTACCTGATACCAGTCGATTCAATCACGTGCGATTCAATGTCACCCCCTTGGTCAAGGCATGACATTGAAGGGTTCACAGGAACGAACCCTTCCCACATATTTATGAGTCAGAGTCCGTTCAGATGTGTGGTCGTCAACGACCAGGTGATTGTCAAGAACTCCCCCACACACATGTGATTACATAATACTGAGTTTCTAAGCTCAGGTGATACTATTCTGCTTATTCACAGTCTCCAACAAAATGCACAAGCATAGCCGCTCGTCGCACCCAGAAGTGATGTAGTGAAACACAGTTGTAGCGGCAATCTTCTCAGATGTAGCCCGCGTAGCTCCACCAATGGTGACCACTTGACTGTAGCCTATGGGCGTCAAAAACGCCAATCAAAAACATTTCAAAAAGAGTCAACCCCCCCCCCCCCCGAAAAAAGTGTTTACCACCCACGGAGACAAAATTGTTATTGTTTTTAAAAACCATTAACAAACACTTGAGATAACAACCGTCCCATTATTTACACCCATGCCACTAACCACTGTTTAAAATCTTACTATTTCCTCTAAAGGATCCGCATAAACTGCCACGCCTTCCTTAGAAAGACAAACCCCACCCCTAATATATATGGTGTTCTGGTCAATGTAATTGTCCCATATACCCATACACGGTATTCCCCTACTTTACGAGCAGTTGGTTCACACCAATCGCTGGTGACATGCGCTCGCTGCCTGCTCTCAGCCTTGTCAGTACCCCCACACATGACCGAGACTTCCTCTATTATCGCTAATCATGTCTACGCCATTTCTTAATACCTTCCTTTGGGCACCATTCCTTCCCCCCCCCCCCCCCCATCCCATCCCAAATCCTTATCCTGACCCCTTCCAAGTGCCATATAGTCGTAATGACTTGGCGGTTTCCCCCTGATAGTTCCCTTCCCTTAATACCTTCCTACTTCGGCAAATATCGTTTCCACCTATTGAGAGGCACGCAATGGGCATGGTCCCATTGTCTGGGGATAAATTGCCCATTCTATCCACTATGTTACTCAGCTTTCCTCCTGGAAAACGTATCCTAATTATACACACACAGCTCACAATAGCGCGATATATCAAATGAACAAATCCACAAAGGCCGAAAGGTCTTCTGTTCGCAAAGTCTTCGAACTCTCATCACGGCCCTTGTGGATTTGTTTATCCTAATTATATTTCTTAAATGCCTAGGAGTACAGGGTTCTATCCATATAATGCAACCGAGTCACCTACAACTAACATTCTTTAACCTTTTTTGATGCGAAATTCTGCTTTCCAAACCGTCTTCGTCCCCCCGTACACATTCACCTCATTCTCCTCACGCAGAAGAGGTGCCCATCTACTGTAGACCGGAGGCTAAGAAGAACAGTCGACAGTGTAATGGGAGCCAAACAAAGTCAACGGATGTGACTTTCACTTTATACTTTCAGTGGGCAGGGTTGGTTGGTGACAACGCAGTGGTCCTCAACCTTAACCATCTGCAGAGCGCCTTCTACATCCTCCTGTTGGGGTACATTGTCGCCTCCCTCGTCTTCTTGACGGAGATCTTCAACCCATCCAGCATCATCACGCCCACGCCTTCACCCCCACCCACACCCCCCAAAGATGTGAAGACTGACTGTAGCACTGTACTGTTAACTGTCTACATGTAACCAGGCAACGCCAGCTGTACAAGACATTTACCATATAGAGACGTATAGAGAACAACTGCATCTCATTTTACCTACCGATACAATGAGGTATAGAGAACTATTTCACTAACCCCAAGATCGATAAACAGAGTTATCAGAGGACGACACAATCATAGATTATCGGACGCCGCCATGTGTGTGTCACGGAGTTCGCCTCTGGTCATACAGGAGAGAACCTACGCGAGGAAAGGTTTATTTAAACGTATACATTGATGTATCAGTACCCTTGGGGGAGGGGGGGGTTAGGTTCAGGTATTACAGAAATCAATTAGTGGTTAAGAATCGGCACCCTTTAGCAGGAGCTTCAGCCCTGCTAAAAGGTTAAACACACACACAAAGACCAGAGAGCCAAAGTTGCATGGAAACTTCTCCTTCAAAAGAAGGCATCTGCCTTGGAAAAAGTTCAACACAGACAAAAATCATCCCAGAACCAAGTCGACTCATTTCAGGAAAGGTCGAGAGCCACAACACTTCAAATCAGATGTGACAGGACTGATCTCATCGAGACCTTTAATATCCTTCAAATTCAGTATATTTATGTAGACCACTTCTTTAAAAAGATCAAATGTAACAACGGGCAACAGCTTCAAGTTCAACAAGCCACAATGTAGGACAGAAAATAGATTCTTTTTCCCCCAAAAGGAGATAAACCCATGGAAACGCCTACCCGCCGAAGACGTAAATGCCAGGACATTGCTTCAGTTTAAAATCTAGACAGTCATATTCCTAAGGAGCAATAAAGGGGGCCCTTGACAGCCGCCGTCTTCCTGTACCCGCCGAGGCCACTAGAGATAGCGGAGTTTAAGCAGAGTAAATACGTACTTGAGTTAAGCAACTGTTGTGAGTTGCATTCTGGGGAAGGTCAATAGTTCGACCAAGGGAGCACCTCGATACAAGTTGTTCTTGGCTGCCTGTTCCTGCCAACAGGAGGGTCCGGTACTACTGTCGGGTTCGTTCTCGACTCATCAGAATTTTTCGGATGCGGATTTTCGAAAGTTCGGATTTCGGAAAGTTTGGCATGATGATTCCAGTGCCAAAATTCTTATATTTAATCACTTATGTCAAATGAAATTAATCTTTATATTAGGTACAACTGAAAACTCACACCCCAGAAGTGACTCGAACCCATACTGCCAGGAGCACTCTGCTGGCATACAGGATCCCTTAACCGCTCGACCAACACGACCGGACAAAAGAGGATGGTAGCCTCCAAGTACACCTACACCTTCTGGGTTGAGTTTTCAGTTGCATATAATCCTGGGGACCATTCAGGCTTGTTCACATTTGTGTTCCTCACGTGTGCCCCAAAGAATGAGGTGATTTGATAAAATACCATGCCCAAGATTACCAACCAAGTGCCGGTGGGGGGATGGAAATAGCCTCGGCTACCATCCTCTTTTGTCGGGTGGTGTTGGTCGAGCGGTTAAGGGATCCTGTACGCCAGCAGAGTGCTCCTAGCAGTATTGGTTCGAGTCACTTCTGGAGTGAGAGTTTTCGGTTGCATATAGTCCTGGGGACCATTCAGGCTTGTTCGCATATTAGGTACAGGAATTTTTAGCCCGAGACATCACTTCTGTATAATTAGAGAGATTTATATGCAAACCTCAAGTCTCCTGAATACCTACAGTGAAAAACAATTGACGTCAGTTGCACTGTGAACCTGTGTATACTTATATAATTAGTTTTGTTGGGGACAGGAAGCCTGGCTATAAATATGCTGAAGGCTTTTATCTCGGCCCCCCCCCCCCCAGGGTCGAAGTAGTGACGCTCCCCAGGATGCAACCCCACAACAGTTGCCTAACTTCCGGGTACCTATTTTACTGCTAGGTGAACAGAGGCATTGGGTGAAAGAACACGTGCGCGAACATTTCTGTCCGGCCCACTTGAACCCTGGGATCCCCCGATTGTGAACCAAGAACGAAACCAATATTACTCGCAATCTAATGGTTAAGACAGAAGAAAATCATTGAACAGCGTCTTCCAAGACGTCCAGGCATGCCAGCGCTTACATAGTGTGACTTTTGTAACTCGTGTATGATAAGGTATCAATCGCACGACTTATCTCTGACATCATGGTCCATAAAAACTGCTCGTACGACTGCTCGTATGACTGTACCAAATTGGTTAAGGTACTCGCCTGGACATGCAATGTGATCATCTACAAGGTTTGGGAGACCAAATTTTCCATTTTAGAGAAAAAATGAAACGTAAGAGCATCTATAAAATACGCCAAATTGTCCGTTTATAAAATACAGTCATTCAATGATTAAGTAGAAGAGAGGCTGATTACATAAACATTCTGATTGTTGACGTAATGATATGCGATTCCAGGGAGACTAAACTTAAACCAGAATTACCTTTGAACCTGGAAGAGGTGGTCTTAACCAGATCTGGTAGTGAGATATTAAGGTACTCCCACAGAGAAAGTTGAAGAAAAACAGAGTTGAACGTGATTAATATTATGAAACCAGATGGAACCATACCTTGGATAATGAAAGTGTTGAGTGGCCCATTGAGTACACCGTTTGCTGTATGTCCGAAATTCACTGTCCCTGACTACATATGCTTGTAGTGTCAACAGTTGTAATGTGGCCTGCAGCTCACAGGTTATTCAAGGAGTAAAGTATTTAGAGCAACAATACAGAGTTCAAGTATGGAGGAACTGGAGACATGTCTTAAGAGAAGACTCTTGGACCATCAAAGATCAATTAAAATGTCAAACATCAACATGTGTTTAAAGAAAAAAGGGAGGGAGGGAGGGAATTATCAGGGGAAAGCGGCAAGCTATTACGACTATGTAGTACTGGGAAGGGGTCAGGATAAGGATTTGAGATGGGACGGGGAGAAGGAATGGTGCCAATCCACTTGAACAGTCGGGGATTGAAAGCCGACCTGCATGGAGCGAGACCGTCGCTCTGGACGGCAAACCGAAACTATCAATTTATGTCCGATGGACCTATTCGAATTCTGAGATGATAATGATAAAAGTCCGTGGGGAAGTGGTAAGACATTCGCCTGGCGTTTCGCGAGCGCTTTGGCCTGGGTTCGCATCCTGGCCAGGAAGGATATACTGGACGCCAATCTGTTTACCCTACGGTAAAATGAGTACCTGGTTGTTAAAAGATTTGGAGAGTCGTATTCCGGGGAAAATTAAGATTAAGGACTTGCCCGAAACGCTATGCGTGCCAGTAGCTGTACATGAATGTAAGAACTGTAGGCGACGAGTCACAACGTGACTGAAGTATGTTGACCAGACCACACTAGAAAGGGACAACGACGTTTCGGTCCGTCCCGAGTGCGGTCCAGGACGGACCGAAATGTCTTTGTCCCTTCACTTTCTAGTGAAGTCAACTTTACTAGACTGTAGTATTAGTGTGGTCAACAATGTAAGAACTCTTGAAAAAGAGGAGAGGGGGCGACCGTATCTTCCATGATTTTCAGAAAGCATTTAGATATCCTGCACAAGAGGCTTTTATACAAGCTTGAGAACAAAGCTGTATCATACCGTTTTATCAAACATTACAGAGCCAACCTTGGAAATCAAATATCAGACTTGATGCTAGCACACACACACACACACTAAGAGACAATATTAATAAATATCATTTTCGTGACGTTGTGGCAACTCTAGAGGATGTCGTGTCAGTGGGCCAGTCTCTCCCTCTAGCCTCTGTTGGATTCGTCTGGACGACTCTGATTTGCTTCCCTTGCCATCTGTACTTTAAAATTCCATTTTGCTTTCATTGCTAATTTTCCAACGTTTCCTTCCAGTTTGATAAAGCTTATGTACCATTCCAAAACCTCGAATACACCCTTGTATTTCCCAACACTCACCCTCCCTGCCTCACCCCATTACTGCAACCAGCTTCACTACACTACCAAGGTTGCTCTAGTACATGTATGTTCAAGGTTAATTGATATGGAACTGTGAACTCTACCACCCCGGCACTCAGCCCCGCTCCTCTGCCAGGTAAGTCCACTACGGGCTCACCATAGCCCGTGCTACTTGGAACTTATTGTTTTGAGTAGCTGAATCTAAAAACAACAACTACTCTACCTACCACCACATGTGTGTCGACTGTATGGGAGTCGACGCCTCTAAGCTTAGAGTCCGCTACCCCCACCAATCCTACTCCAAATTTGGAGGAGGCTAGCCCCAAGCCTCAGGCCTCCATCCTACCTTGGACAGACTGATATTTCCTTTTATAGATAAGTTGGAGAGTGGTAAAATAATAAGCGTAAAATTATATGGATGTCAAGTTCAAGTATATTTATCGAGACAAGAATTACATCTCAAAGGGATAGAGTAGCTTAGGGTATTTCTACCCCCCTTGATAGGTCGGTGGCGGAGGATGGCAGGGCAGGGTGTGGTGTCCTAATAAGGGAATATACCGAGTTTGGGACTGTGGACAGGAAAATTGAACTCCGACTTAGTAATTATATATCATCCACACAAGCTGAACTGCAGGCCATTCTGGCGTGTTTGGAGGAAGTACGTCGTGACGACAAAGATGTTTTTGTATTTGTCGATAGCCGAGGAGCACTTTATTCCTTAAACAGTTGAAACCCAGTCTTCATGTCCATAGTTGAGGATTGTAAGAAAAGGATAACCGCGATACAGCTGAGAGGTCATAGTGTGAAATTCATGTGGATTCCATCTCTTGTTGGAAGTGCTCAACGAGGTGGCGGATGACTTGGCCAAACGTGCCACATCAAAACCACAAGTTGACATCGAATGTGAATTCACAATAAGACATATAAGAAGCAAAATCAGAAATATTCAGGCACAGGCAGAAGTGGAGAGGAGACGTATAATGTATGATAGAAGTCTAACCATGCAACACTACATGTGTGCGAGTCAAAACACCCATTTCACTTATGGTAAAAGGAAAAAGGCTTGGAGTGACTGTGCACATGCGGCTCAGGCTTGGGTACAATTACTGGGAATATGGGATAGATGTTCATGATAATGACACGAAGTGTAAACCATGTGGTATGTTAAGGTCTCACAATTGTCCATTATGTTCTTGATTGTCCGTTGATTAATGTATATAGAAACACCGAGATAAGGACTGTTCCTGAACAAATAGCCTGGATGTGTCACAACGGAAAGGTCGATATGCTTGAGATAAGAATTTTGCACCAAGGCTAATCTTTTGTTGAATTATCTGCATGTCTCTTGCAAATTGTCTATACAGTATAACTAGGTCAAAAATATTTGTGTGTACGTCTGATACCATACTAGTGTAAAGGAGGAAATGTATATGATCATTTCAGAATGTTCGGTAATACGTTTCTTGGTTGTGATGTGTGTATGTATTAACACGATGTACTGAACGGGGTGAGAATAGCTTGAGCTACCTCATCCCTTTGTGTATTTTACCTCAATAAACTTATATATATATATATATATATATATATATATATATATATATATATATATATATATATATATATATATATATATATATATATATATATATATATATATATATATGGATGTCGTAATTGTGATGTGTTTGGTGATGACGGGAGAAGTTAGTACCCACACAAACATGTTCAAAATAAATTGTTCAGAATATTCAAAAGTAAAAATTGTAAAAAATAAATAAAAATATTACCAGAAAATCGCGTAACAAATCTGAATTGCCAGAATCTGGAAGTTGGAGATGAATCGCTAACAATTCAAAACAGTTTTCTAACAAAAGTTACAAAAAAAATGTAGACTACTGGGAAATAGTGAACAATTACGTTACTATTCGCCCAACTTTTGGGTACGGCGCACCTCTTCCCGATGAGAAATACGAAAATTTCACTATTTTAATTAAGTTTTAGAAAAAATATGCATGATTACGGGAAAACTGGCGAGTTTTTTTCCATTCAATTAGTTTGGGAACATTTATAATACAATACCCCGTTTAGTTTAGTCCTTATATGAACGATGTGGGCCATCACACATTGCCCTAATGGACAATTAGAAAGAATTTGCTATTAAATTTGGACAAACCGCAAGAGGTCTTTTATAAATAAGGCTTAAAAAAAAGAAAGGTAGACATCTCGCTACAGCATAGCGGGACTTCCCAGGGCGCTTGGGAGGTCATGACAAATTGCACAAGTTGTACCTGCAACACTAGCTGGGGCAGCAGCTGGGTTAATTAAGCCCTGACCATTACTCTCTTCGACTGCAGCATTTCCTCTCCTCACTATTTTTCTACCTGTCCGCACTTCCCACTCTCCCTTTGTACAATCTCTGTCCTATTCCCGCCCCAGGAATATTATTTGCCGCCACTCAGAATCTTGATTTTCTCCACAATTTCCCAAATTTAATTCAGGGAGAGACTATTGTTATCACAATTAATAAAATAAGATTAACCTGTCTGAAGATGAACAGAGGCACGGTCGTGGGCGATACAAGAGGAGAGCGTTGTTTACTTCCTGCCTTCACCAAGGTTCAGTGGGTACTGATGGGAATTTTTCAAAACGAGGCTATTATGAGGGCAGAGACCTCTGGCGGTCGCAGGCAGGTCCACATGTCACACAATGGGATCCCCAGTTTCCTAGACGTTTGTTTGTCTACAAGAATTGACTGCACGGGCCTTGGAAGCCACAGTTCAATTTGCAATTATTTTTGTTTTTTTGACAAGACATCTTGAACATTTTCCCTATAGTTGTTGAATGTAAATAAGATCTGCATCGTATGGATCAATAGGGGTTCTGAAGATTCCTTTATTCTAAAGTTTATCGCATTCACTGACTGGAAAGGCGGAGCTTGGGCGTTAAGTCAACTTTGTAAGTACATCTAGGCGTGGTCAAACATACACACAAATGGAAGATAATTTCTGAGATAAATTAGTACCGAGAGATAATTCTAATCTAAAGAACTTGTTTGCCCTTTTTTGCCCGTCAGCATCTTCAACCACTTAACCCAGACAAAGGTCAACACGTTTCATTCAAATTCTTTCAGCATGAAGAATACTACAGTATCTTATTCACAAATGCATTTGATTAGCTCAAAGAAGATTGGGGTCCATAGTTTTTAAACTCGTTATGTGACTAGTTTGTAACTAGCATGCAGCGAACGCCCAAAATACTTCTATATTTAGTATAGAATTCATGGGAGGACAGATTAATAGCTGGGATATGAACACAGTCTAAGAGCTGTTATACAAGGCCAGTCAAAGAACATGTATATGAGGACATTGCGAGAGCTGGAATATAAGAGCTGTGATACGACGGTAGACTAAAGAGCTATGCCATGAGAAGGAATATGATGACAGACTAAGAGCTGGTTAATCCCGATTGAGCCATCTAGGATCGAACACCTTCCCTATTTCCCTATTAGAAGAAGCGAGGCCGTCGCCTGTACCATTCACGATCAAAGATCACATTCACTTCAAAAAATATACTACTTATGGGCTATTCATGCCCGTGCCACTCTTGGGTGGCTTAATCTTCATCAATCAATCAATCTGCCTGTACCGACCAGTCTAGGTGGATGGACACAGTTGACAGGAGGGGAATGTTTTTGCCAACGTGTAAATAAACAGCCCGGGCCTCGCAAAGAGCTCTCTTAGTTCTACCAATTTGTGTACACGCAGTTCAAATTATTCACAATTAATATCTCGGAAAACAAAAGTAATCCATATATACAAATTATAAATCATTTATTACACTTGAAAGGCATTATAAATGTTATTACAGCTTTGAAAATGCATATATCAACACAACATCTCACGGTTTGACTTTTAAAATCACAGACGTATAAAAATATTTCACAAATATCTTCGTTTCTCAAAAGAAACACTAACGTCAGTCTCCCACGATTCTCAAATTACCGATTTCAAATGAACAACACAAATTTCATTATAAATGTATTAACTTGTTTTACAATTTATATTTGTATTAATTAACATTCATGTTTATTTTTCAATCAGTCCTAATGCTATATTAGTCAGGACACAATTATAAGATTTTGATAATACTAAGCAGTTATAGGATTTTTTTAAATAACATTTTTAAGGTATTCAGATCCTTATCCAAACACCAAGACCAGCTGATATATTGCACCAGCAAATAACCTTCATTTGGTCCTTATAACCGGATTTCGGTATAATCGAATTGATGGAAATTAACCGAAGAAAGTCGATACCCAGAGTCGATTCAGTCACTTGAATTTCTTGGAAATATGTCGTTGCAACACGAATAATTTCCAATGAGACCAAAATACCAGACCTAGTCTAAATGTACATACTGAGCCGTATTATATATAATATATTGTATTTGAGATAATACCATTTACATCACGCCGCATGAGAAATACTCAAACATTTAAACCTCTTCGATTTGCCGCTGAATTGACGAGCTAGGCTTAAGGACAGATTATTCAAGTTACTTACGCTTATTTAACGTTCCATAGGGTATTTAGAATTTATTTTAGTAACACCAGCTGGAAGAAATCAATCATTTTCATTATATCTAATTATACATATATTCATTTTTTGAAGTTAGAAGAAAATCTGGTAGATCAGTTTTTATGTCGCCTTAACTCTATCAACCAGGCTTCTCGATTTTGAAATGAAAACTGAAACAATCAATAGATTATAAAGACTATCCTAGCCACTAGTGTTACCAAACTAAATTCACATGACGCATACATTTTTTGAGATTCCACTTGGACACAATATATATATATATATATATATATATATATATATATATATATATATATATATATATATATATATATATATATATATATATATATATATATATATAATCAAAATAACATCAAAACACCTATCTATTAAATGCAATACTACAACATATGAAATATGTGGGGAAACGGCATAAGTGCTTTCAACTGTCTCGGAGCCTTTGGATAAGATTGGAATTCAGATTGGAAAGCATCTGCCTGTGATAAGAGGCCCGAGGGGTTGAAAGTATGGTTTGATCTTCCCATGTCTTTTTGAGGGCGGAGGTTAGTTATGCTAGGATTTGTCACCGTTGTACTGTACGTGAGGTTATTCCCTTGCTTTAATGTATACATATTGTGTTACAGTATTTTGTTTTGAATAAAAGAAAAAAAAAAGAGGGTTGAAAGCGCTCAGGCTGTTCCCTTATATTTCATGTGTGGTAATTTTACACACAAACACACTATATATATATATATATATATATATATATATATATATATAAATATATATATATATATATATATATATATATATTGATAAGAAACTCGAATCCGTATTCGACGTGTCTTCAGCATTATGGTGAGTATTACATACTGTATAATACTTCAGTTTTTTCAAGCTTCCATGGAAAGTCGAAAGGATCGAACACAACATTAAGTTACAGAAAACGGATTCGCTGTACTTCCTTCGGTACAACAGAGATTCCATTCATGTTATATAATAAATCGAATGATCAAGCTCAGTTTACATGTTGTGATAACGTAGTCACACGACCACAAAAGTTTGAGCACCTACAGGAGCTCTCGACTCAAGGTCCACTATTATCAACGATATTGTCGACAGTGTTTGTTATCTCTGTTGTCGCAGTAGTTAAAAGCTCGACGGTTGTTTCACTTGTGGTAATAGGGTTACTAGATTCACCTCCTTCCAAAGTCACCAGCGCTACCATAAGGCCGAATCCTAGCAGCAGGGACACGAAGCGGGCCCACCCTCCCTCGGGCTTGATGCGCTCCCTCTCCAGAACTTCGCAGAACGTGATATAAAGAATCGTCCCTCCTGCCACCGATTGCAGGACGTTGGGGAGCAAGATTCCCACCGCAGTTTCTTCAGCTGAGTAAGCTATCACTAAACTCCCTATGATACAACCGATTGGCGAAGCTAAAGAGAAGACGATCATGGAAGCTAAATATGGTTTGAAAGACACACCTACTTCTAAGAGTTCCATGGACATGCTGAACCCTATGACGAGCTTATGAGCAGTAAGAGCTCCGAAGAGAATCCATACGTCTGTAACATTACTCTCAAGGCCAATTGCTAGGCCCTCCATGATACCATGGAAGGACAGTGCCACCACTACTACCACAGCACCTATCACAGAGGTACTCTCGTCTACCGGGGATGAGTGATGACAGTGTGGTATGCTGTGCACGTTATGATTCGAGTCTTCAAATTCGGTGCCTCCAGGCGGATAGCCGTTGTCTTCCACTCCCTCATTTTTCTTTCCACCAACATTCGTCAGCATTATGACACCCATGACGGCGATGTGGCTACCTGAAGACTGACGGGTCTCTGTGAGTCCTCCCACGGACATCCTCCGAAGTTGCGCTATTTTCTTCGCCTCTTCGAAAGATGTGGGACCTTCATGAGTGATTTCCATTTCATCTTTGTTTCTGTGGTCTATCCAGGCATGAATAATTTCCTCCATCAGATACACCAGGAAAAACCCGGAGCACAAAACCACTTCAGCCACAGGGAAGGATATCTGCCTCATGAACCCAACGTCCATGGCATACTGGTAGGTTTCTCTCGTCTCCGGCAGGAGGTGCACGAACACCACAGACAGCAGGACGCCGGCACCAAAACACAAGCACGAAGTTAGTATGATCTGTCAAAATGAAATCAGTTGTGTAAGATGAAGCACAAGCATGCTGGGAGGTACCAAGATAGGGGTGAATAAGCTTGGGGGGGGGGGGGTCAAGTTCGGGTAAACAAGCTGGGACAGTAATATTATAATATGATCCCTTTATAAACTTTTGTAATATTATGATATAATAGCTCTAATATCCAAGCTAACCAATAAGTATTAGAAAGGTTCTAATACTATATATTTGAATTTGATAGCTATCAAAGTTTCTGTATATTTTTTGGTTTAATAAAATATAATTTAACCTAACTAAAAAACCTGACCTAGCCTAATTTCCTATAATTTTTATGTCATATATTAATATTGGTTTTCTCAAGACAAGAGATAGAATAAACTTTTAATTCTGAAATAAATTTGTATTAATTATCGAACTAGTGATTTGAGCTGAAAGTGAAATTCAAATAATTTTTGCTTTTAATTAATTTACACAACTACGACATGAAAATTACAATAGGCTTTCATATATTAAAACAAGATGACATAGTAGGCCTACATGCACTATGACAAGATAATGACAGTAAGCCTACATGTACTATCACAAGATAGTGAACAAAAACACAAGGGCCGTGATGAAGGTTCAAACTTACGCCCAGGATGATCCCAGACGTTGTCTTAAGTTCGAACCCCTCATCACGCCCTTGTGGATTTGTTCATTTGATGCATCACACTATTGTGATTTCTGTGTTATCACAAGATAGTGATAGTGACGCAAACTTCAGGCAACGGAAACATGTTAAACGTGAGTATTATAACCTCAAGCTAATTATAGCTTGAGGTTATAGCTAATAACCTCATGGAATACGGTGTATTTGAATGTTACAAACCCTCTCGGCAGTGTAGTAAAACTCCTCCCTGGAAGCTACAGGAAATACACGTAAAAATTGTGCTCCCCTCAAGATGAAAAAAGCCTTTCCGTGATCCGGGACAAATATGGTGTTTGTATGGAGGCATGATATCTCGGTTACCAAGAGATAATAATTTGGACGTATACTGTGATGGGTTGGTGGGAGAAGATCGCAGGGCAGGAAGTGGTGTCCTGATATGGGAACACACGGAGTATAGGATTGTAGACAGGGAAATTGAACCACAATTTAGTTTTTATATTTCATCCACACAAACTGAATTGCAGGCCATTTTGGCTGGTTTGGATGGAGTAGCTTAAGAGAAGAAAAGATGTTTTCCTGTTTGCTGATAGCCGAGGAGCAGTTGAATCATTATACAGTCGAAATCCAATCTTCATGTCCATAGTTGAGGATTGTAAGAAAAGAATAATTGAGAAAAAGCTAAAAGAACACAAAGAAGTGAAATTCATGTAGATTCCATCTCGTGTTGGAATAGTGCTCAACGAGTTGACTGTTGAGCTGGCCAAATGTACGACAAGACCACAATTAGTTGATCAAGAATGTGTGTTAACCACGAAACAAATAAAAAGCAAAATAAGAACTATTCAGGTACAGGAAGTGTTGAGAAGAGATATAATATATAAGAGAAGCCAAACCGCGAAACACTACACATGTGTGTGTGTGAATCAAAACATCAAGTTTATTTACAGGAAAAAGGAAAATGTTTAGTGACTGTACGCACGTGGCTAAGGCTTGGGATACACATGTTATTGGAAATAGGGAACATGTGTTAATGAAAATAATTGCAAATTATGTGGCTTGTCAGAGTCTGACACCTTCACCCATTATGTTCTTGAGTGCCCGTTGATTGATGAATATAGAAATAATCATATAAGGACTATTTCTGAACAAACAGCTTGGATGTGTAACGAGGGAAAGAGGGCTTATGCAGGATCAAATATAACATTTGTAATTTACGACTCATGCTCTGTGATGATAATGAAAAATTGGTTTACTGAGAATTATATAAACTATATCTAAATGTAGTATTTTCCCTTGAAAACTGATTTAAATATGATCTTTATATCGTATATTATTTAATAAAGAAGAAAACAAATGTTAAATAATGTGAAATTTGTGTGGTGTGTATAAATATATGAAGATATTGTATTGGCCGGGGTGAGAAAAACTTCAGCTACCTCATCATTTTGTGTGGATTCAGATCTCAATGAACCTATGATAATGAAAGCAGGCCTACGTGTGCTATAACAAGATATTGACAGTAGGCCTACTTGTACCATAAAAATAAAATGACAGTAATCCTAAAAAGTACTATAATGAGACAAATGACAGTATGCTTTCATGTGTCATAAAAAGATAATTACAGTAATCCTACGTGTATTATAACAAGAAAATGACAGTAGGCCTATATGTATAATCTCATGATATTCAATTCAATTTCTTTCTTTAGTATGCACCCCATACCCATCCTGTGGGCGGTGGTGTAAAGGATTACAGAGGCACATAATCGGTTCAGGAACTGAACCCTCTAGTTCCGTTTGGAATTGATTATCATGATATTGAGAGGAAGCCTAAATTACGGATACCTTGTGGTACTCCGGGTTTTGCTACCCTATCCCCTTCTCTCATCTCTTTTTCCCTCTCCTCTCCACCCTCTCTCTCTCTCTCTCTCTCTCTCTCTCTCTCTCTCTCTCTCTCTCTCTCTCTCTCTCTCTCTCTCTCTCTCTCTCTCTCTCTCTCTCTCTCTCTCTCTCTCTCTCTCTCTCTCTCTCCTCTCTCTCTCTCCTCTCTATCCCACTTTCTCTGAATGTACACCATCTGCCTGCATGTACACCTGCCAAACCATTCTAGTATTCATGTGTGTAATAAAATTTCATTGTCTATATATAACTGTTTACACTTGAAACATTATCTAATGATTTCACACAAAAAATAAATAATCATATTTATCTTGCACGTGATAATGTGTGGCGTCGGAATAAGTGCAGTGGAACTTGCTTCTTTTGGGGCACTGTGTGTTAGGCTCTTTGGCAGTGTGTGTGTGTGTGTGTGTGTGTGTGTGTGTGTGTGTGTGTGTGTGTGTGTGTGTGTGTGTGTGTGTGTGTGTGTGTGTGTGTGTGTGTGTGTGTGTGTGTGTGTGTGTGTGTGTGTGTGTGTGTGTGTGTGTGTGTGTGTGTGTGTGTGTGTACTCACCTATTTGTGCTTGCAGGATCGAGCATTGACTCTTGGATCCCGCCTTTCTAGCCATCGGTTGTTTACAGCAATGACTCCTGTCCCATTTCCCTATCATAACATAGAGTTTGCTTCCACAACCTGCTATTTGTATCTGCAGAATCGAGTTATTAGCTCTTGGACTCTGCCTTTCTAACCAATTTTATTTTTCCACTAGTATGTCTACTACATATATTTCACATACACACATCCCCAGGAAGCGGCCCGTAGCAGCTGACTAACTCCCAGGTACTTATTTACTGCTAGGTGAACAGATCCCCACCAGGGTGAAAGAAACTGCCCATTTGTTTGCAGACTACCCATATATCTACCCTGTAGATATAACATGGTAGTCGAAGGGGATGGGAATGAGACGAGGGTAATAAAGATTAGAGGTTAGAGAGAGAAAGGGGGGAAAAGGGGATGGTGGGAGAGTTTAGGTGGGTACAGTGTAGCAGGGACGGTCACCAGGCTGCGGGCGATGTCGTAGCATTACAAGTACGTTTTGTGTGTGATAACTGACGCGATGAGCGGTATATCTGCGGACACAAGTGTGTGCAGCTTTAGATTTCTCACGCAGTTGCGCTTGATTTATATAATCATAAATTGTTCTTGTCGTTGTTATTAGCACAAATCTGCGTTGTGTGTATGTGTGCGCGTGAAGGGGGATGGGGAGGGGGCAGGGAATTTACCTATTATCTGTTAGCTTTTGGAATCTGCCTTTATATAATCAATTACTATTCAAATTCCTGTTACTCTAACACCTCTAGTTTCATATACATTCAGTCTATGTCAACCTACGTTAGTCAACATATTGAGTCCTGATCACAAATACACTCGACTTCACTAAAAAGTTTGAGTGACTGAGCCTGTGATCAAGAGAACTGTGACTGGCAACACTGCCAGTGGACAACCAACGTACCCGACTTGTGTCCTCGTGGATCTTACGGAGGAGGAGCTTCCGGACCCCGAGAGGCAGGAAGGAGGCGAGCAGGGTTAAGCAGGCCATCAGTCCCAGGGCCAAGGCCTTCGTCTCCACCACACTCAGCATCTTGGGGATGGTCGGCCTCCTGGCGCTCAAGAAGGAAAAGATGGAAGAGCCTGGCTCGCGTGCGGGTCGCCCTCGGACCGGGAGATCACTGTTCTATTCTTCTGGACCTAGTCTTCGTACACTGTTTTTGTTGTTATGTTGGTCCTTATACCGTTCACTGTTACGTGCACAGATTGGTGTTAGTGATTACTTCTTAGTTACATGAATTCTGTTTTCCTCCTAATTTTGATTTGTTTTCATTATTTTTAACTTTTCTTGCGTTCTTTTCTCGGTTTACTTTATAGATTTTCCTTTAGATATTTTGTATATATATCTGATAACTTCTATCATATAATGGTAGTAGTAGCAGTAGTGTCCGGATGATAGGCTCTCGCAACCCACAATAGCTCACTTTTAAAACTTTTGTTTCCTTATCACAAATTCTCTCGTTACTTCGATGCACTGTCCATCTATGACCATCACTCTGCAGCCATCGCCTCTGTCCCTCGCCGTGGCCGTGACTGAAACATCACAACACACATGAGAAATGAATACAACAAAATACAGAGCGCATAAATTAAAATGAGTGATTAGAATATACAATTGGCATCGCGGAGAGTTGCGAATGTTGTGCCGATCTTAAACGTTTATTGTAGGAAAATTGCTCGAAGCGATAAACGCTAAAACCACTCGTATATATCTTGAAAGGATTCACAAACCCTTCATGAAAACTGTACGCACCATAAAGAAGAAAGAAGGCGATGAGTCACAATAACGTGGCTGAAGAATGTTGACCAGACCACACACTAGAAGGTAAAGGGACGACGACGTTTCGGTCCGTCCTGGACCATTCTCACTTTTAAATCGACTTGAGAATGGTCCAGGACGGACCGAAACGTCGTCGTTCCTTCACCTTCTAGTGTGTGGTCTGGTCAACGAAGAAAGAAAGATTCACAACATGAATTTACTACGAGCCGCTTAGGTTTGACAAAATTTGCTTGCGTTCTTTTTCCGCATATCTGAGGCAGTTGATAGTTATAGTGGAAAGAATTGCAACACTTTGTACCTTAACTTTAGCAAAGCTTTTTATACTGTAACAAAGCTTTTTATACTGAAAGACTGATTAGAAAGGTAGCTCATGACATTGGAGGTGTTATTCAAACTTGGATAAGGGCGTTGTTACTTAAAGGGAAACAGTTAATATAAATGGAATTAAGTGGGAGTGGGAGTTGTTATACCTCTGTCGTTTAAAAGATTTAGACAAAGGATTGAAGTGCAACATTTGCATACAAAATAAAAAAGGGCGAGAAATATATTTAGATGACACAAAATAGTATCAAGACAATTTAAATAAGCTTTCAACTGGACGAAGGCTTGGCAGATTCAATTTAATGCTGAAAAATGTAGTGTTCTGAGCTTAGGAAACGATAACAGTACCTAGATATCAGCCGGATAATGGGGAAATTGCGTAATCTGAATGTGAAAAAGATCTGAGAATCATGATCTTAAGCCAACAAATATATGCATAAATGTACGAACTATGGCAAACAGGATACTCTGGGAAAGTAACGCAGCATTAATTGTTGGTGACAAAGTTTTTTATTTGTTAATTGTTTAATTGCTTATTAGGCTATTTTTTCAATTGTTTATTGGTTCTTAATTGTTTATTTATTGGGAATTAGTGGTGTTTTGAGTTAGCCAATGAAGACTGGTCTTATAAAGCAGGATTTGGGTTACAACTGTCACTGATACAGTGTCATTTTAAAAGTGATTCCTTAGCTGCTGGGAATGATTAAAGCTGTGTAAATTGTGATTGTTGGAATGTCCACTTGGTCGCCCATAATATTTGTAGTGTTGGTTTGGGGCTAGACACAGTAAAGTTTGCAGTGTGACTGGTTAGGGTGGGGTGTAACGAGGGCCAACCTTTAACCTCACTTAAACTGGTTAAAGCCTTGTTACAGGGGGACTGTCATAGGAGGCATGGGTTCAGTCCCATCCCATTATCCCCACCTTTTATGGGTCGTCAGCTCAAATATCCATCTTCATGAAGTCAGTGAAGGTGAAATGTTGGGTGCCGAGTCCATAAAATGTGATCATTTATTCGTTATATTACATAATTCAGATTCTGGCTAGCAAATGAATGTTCTGATGCGAGATTTGCATTCTGGGAGACTCCCAAGCACTTAAATGATGCAACCTTTTGGGGAAGCTCCACTAGGCACTGTCAGGTACCACTTTAGTTGTAGATAAGCTGAGTACAGACTTCTCGCCCCCCAACAACGGGAAATCAGACCAAACCACAAACAAGCAGAAATACTGACAAATAGAGTACTTACGTACACTTATCAGCATCACAAATGACAACATACTTGTGCCCACTCCAGTGACCTTGAAAAAAGATTTGTCTACAGCGCCTCTCTCTGACACCACCTTCCTGACACTCCCTCCCTGACAGACGTATCTGGCAGCTCTCTCAAAACCCAAATGTCGAGTACAAAATGTGTCAACTTTGTGAAAGAGAAAACATGCACTCACTTGAACATTATATTGTAGAATGTCCCATATTGTCTGACTTTCGCCCTCCTGGGCTGAGGTATGCTGAACTCTGTAACTACTATATGAGTACTGGAACACTTGATGATACATTGGACTTGTACCTTAGATTAATCATGTAATGTAACTATATAATCTGAGCTTGTCAAAGCATCTTAATCACCTTCAGTGGTTAAGTTCTTAATTGCACACTAGTTTCTCTGTCAGCTATCTCACCCTGTCAGAGTAAAAGAGATAAATATATGTGTATGTATGTATGTGTGTGTATGTATGTGTATAAAGTATAAAGCTGATCAGAATTACATTTCACCATTATAAATTCACATTAATGCATTCATAAATCTGTGTATCTATGTATTTACGTATGTAGGTTAGCCTAACATTTTAAAAGCACTACGATCACCTTCTGTGGTTGTCCAATAAATCTCTGAACTGTATGTTTGACAAATCTCTCACCCTGTCCATGAAGGACAGAAGAAAATGTATATATATGCTAGTTAGCATTGTAAATGTGTGGCCACGTTTGTGGTAGAAAATAATAATACAAAAAACCGTCCCTGATACTCCCTCCCTCCCTCCCTGACACTCCCAGCGACAACCTCTTCCTGACACCACTTCCAGTTCACCTAAAACCACTTGACATCACTTAACACCCCCTGATACCACCTAACATCATCTGACACCACTTAACTCTACCTCTCAGACACTATACATCCCTGACACCCCCCTTCCCTGACGAAACAATGTCGTTATTACAATGATATTTTTTGGAACGTTGTTTACAATGTATACAAAACAATGAGGAACTTACGAAAAACTATTTACAACCAGAGGGAGCGAGATGCAATGGTCAAGCACAGATCGATGCTGGATCAGGAGGCTGAGAGCGTCGCCCCGACAGCCACCGACTGTGACCAGGCCAGTTACCCACTACTCCCAGTTGGTCACGACGCCCAGGTATATGTACACGTCGGCTGGGGGGGGGGGTATCACTCTATCAGCATCACTGAGATACGACAGTAATGAAATTGTTTCGAGCCAATCATAGACCAGCGGCCCTGTCACTAAATCGTCTACCAATCACAGACTAGCGGGCCTGCCTTGGTCATTGAATCGTCTACCTGTCACGGGCCAGCGGTCCTGTCTTAGTCACTGAATCGTCTACCAATCACAGTCTAGTGATTTACCTTACTCATCGTGTCGTCCACCAATCACAGTCAATGTCAACCGGGAGTTTTGTTATACAGTAAACATGGTCTACAAACTGAATTAAACCTTATAAAACACATCATAATCTGACCAAAACGTACCCAACTATATGAACCTTGTAATCACGTAGTCACCAAATTCCATAAACCGCTCAAACGCCTTTTTAAATTCTTAAACACGTTACACATAAATGCTCTACGCACACTCTCAAAAGTGTACTTTATCTTTAAATCTCTGAAGAGTAATATTAATCCTGATCTTATACGCTTTTTTATAAGGATGAGTATAAGATCATATAAGGGTGTAGTGTTCAGAACCTTGGACACTACACGAGATCAAAATATGTATTTCATAATCCTAGAGTCCGACTCAACCGAAGATGAAATGCCATGCATATAGAGGGTTTTGAATTGAGGTATGACCTCCCAAATGCAATGCAATACTGTGCTTCTCTTAACCAATTTCAAATAGGAAGAAAGAAATACCCAATTAACACCAAGTAGCCATTTACATATTTGCCTAAATCTCTCATATTTTTTCTTCGCAATTAAGTTAAATTGTTTGCTGTATTGTTAGTACAGGTATTAAATAATGTAAATGTTTTAATACAATATTGACCACTAAATTTATAATTAAAAAATATAGTAAACACTTTTCAGCATTAAGTATCACTCAAGAAAACTGTATATATCACTATTTTGTTTGCATATATTTATATGTTAACTTCCGTCTCATAGCATTACGCATTCACCCCTTAATACAGTACAGTAACATTAAGATGTCCTCGAAACGATGAGTTTAAGTATAGGCTTCGTAAACAATATCTGCTAAGTGATCATTGTAATCTGATCCTTTGTATTTGTAAAAATAAGTTATTTTGGCAGCAATGTTTCGTGTAATTATATGTTACTGAATATACTGAAAGGGTTAGATCAATTGTTATAGCACGAATTTTCTCTTCATTTCCGATGTTGTTCACTTTAGATGGAAGTTGAAAATTTAATTGTAAAAAAGTTCATTTTACTGTTGTATATGGCCTGAAGATTTTTGTTATTGATACATGAGGTACATCTGCATTTGTGCAGCTACCCTAGACTATATGAAGTGGAGTACAGTGTGTCAAAAAAGCTAACTACGTGATGCTAAAAGATCCCCATCACACAGGATGGTTAGTTCTACAGAGGCATATGATAGGCAGTCTGCATTGGCAGACTCCAGATGCATTTTGAGGATATCAACACAAGAGTGAATAAGGTAGCAGTGGTAATAAAAGTCCCCATTTCGCAGGATGGTTAATCATATAGGGCATATGTTTAGTAGCCTGCACTGGAAAATTTTGGGTGCAATATGAGGATATCCTCAAGAATAAGAGAGTGAATAAAGTAATTGCAAAGCTCCAGGTACTCATGCCAACGGGTCTGAATGGTCTGATAACTGAGCATTCGGTGATGTAGTGTGGGAGATCATGCCGCAGTTCCTGCTCACAGAGTTTGCACCTGGAGTGCTCAGGATTGGGAGATCCGTCACCAGTAGCCACCTGCCACGGGTAACGGTAACCCAACCCGATCCTTCCAACCACTGTGTCGCATAGTCTGGTTTTGTGCTGCCCATAGATATAGGTTTCACATCTGAACAAATCATTGCTTTTAATACTAGTACTTTCAGATCGTTGGGAGTCAGTAATTTCTTTCCTATCAGACCTGAGTGTTTGAACCAATACAGTTTTGACAGTAGAGATGGGGAAACCTAGATCTAATTCAACTTCATCTTTTTTCCACGCTAATTTGGCTGCAATGTCTGCCTCATTATGATGGGTTATATTTATGTGTGAAGGTATCCATATTAAAGAGATTCGAGACCCTTTACACTGTGCAGCAATTAGATCATTTATAATTGGTAGTATGAGGTTCTTGCTGTCGATCTTCCAGAAGTTTTCGATTGCTTGAAGAGCAGACTTTGAATCACAAAATATTATTCCTTCTCCAATGTTTTTTAATGTACTGGTAGCTAGTTGTAATGCTGCTAGTTCTGCTTGTATGGAGGTCAATCAGTTGTTTAACCTGACACTGACAGTCTTTGTGCAAATATTATTTCTATAAAACCTACATGCTGCAGCAGTCCGTCCAGTAGAAGATTGGACTGAGACATCGGTGTAGACACAGTGCTCGTGAGATCTTAAATTCTCGATGGAGGAGGCAATTGTTTCAAGTGTGACAGCTTTGAGTAGAGCAAGATTCTTATTACCTGTCTTGGTGACAGGTGTGTATGATACTTAAATGGTGGGGTACAGATAAAGAGGAATAACAGAGACAGGTAGATTGCACTTAAAAGGAATGTTGAGTTTAATGAGATTGTAGGCATTTTTTCTCAGCCATTTATCATAAAAGGAGTGAGTTGGTATGTCGGCACCAGTCAATAGGGTGTTAACAGCACTAAATAATTTGTCTTTGAGCAATGCAGGAGATGTAGGGTCTCTCATGACTTTAAGGCAAAGGGTAGTGTTGACTTGCATGATTCTCTCTAGTATGGTTGGAAGTTTCAGTTCTTCCCTCATGTTGATGATTCTTGTGCATCTTGGAGCACCAAGAATTATCCGCATGGCTTCATTCTGTACTACTTCAAGTTTGTCCAACACAGAGGAGGGGAAATTAATTAAGTGTAAAGCATTATAATCAACGAGAGATCTAACAAACATCATATAGAATAGTCTAGCATATTTAATATTAATACCAATATTCTTACCGTTAAGTGTTTTCAGTGGTTTTAGTCTTTCTTTTAACCTACGGTGTAGATTGTTTACAATGTCACTGTTAATACCAACTCCAAGGTATTTTTGCTGCCTACACGTTTCAATGTTCTGGTTGTTGACCTTGAAAGTTATAGGGACATGAGTTTTCTCTTGGGGATGGAGAACTCTGGATTTAGTTGGCCTGAAGATACGTTTCGTCGATACTGTCAACATTTTCAAAGGCAGAGGTAAATGAAATGGATACAAATTAACTGAGGCATGTAACCAAGAAGGGTGAGGTGAAGTAAGGCACATTAGCAAATCTGCCTTTTGCTGTTCCTTAATTCTTAGTTTTGTTGGTTGGGGGCAGTATGTGCTGGATATTTTATCTCAGTCTCGATGAATGTGTTCGAGTGTGAGCTGACTTTTAACAGTTGGTCCAGATTGTTTGATATGTAGGCTTAGCCAATGTCTAATCTTCTATTATTGTTGTATTTGTCGATTATTTCACTGTTGTTTGTTAGGATATCACAGGTGTGTAGAAAATATATGTTCTTTGATAGAGCCTTGATGTTTGTGCATTGTTGGGCACCTTGAAAAAGATATTGTTGTCTTGCCTGTGTATTGAGATCGATGGGGGCTGACAGTTTCCAAGTGTACATGTAAAGGCACAGACGACATTGATCCCTTAAGACGCTTCACGAGCAAATTTCATGAACAAGTTTGCGGCTATCTTGATCGTCAAGATAGTGCAGTAGATTGTCAACTCTATCTTCTGGTTGATGTCAGTAGGGGTCGTGGTTTCTATCACTACTATAATCCTAGTTCTGGGGTCCTGTTCACCGTTTGTAGCTCCGTCACCTGTCACCCATTTCCTGCGAAATCGAAAACCATCAGGTGATGGTTACCTACGCTAGGCTTTAGCTCATAGGCTTTGCCTATGAGCCTTGTTTATCGTCTAGTTTATCATTTGCCGTTTCTGCATCCTCCGCTCTATTTTTGCGAATTTGCACACACACACACAGACACGCTAACCAGAGACCTGCACTAGACTCTTTATGTTACATTTTACCCGTATCTTGGTCCAAACACGACAAAAAGCCTCGTCTGATTCCAACCTAACTAAACCATGCAAAGTTCGTTAAATTTGCCACTGAAGTATTATTAAACAATGTAATAGTCTCATGTAAATATGTCCAATTCAATCGTTTCCCCATAGAATTATTAGAGGAATATTTGCATTATGTTTTAAGGACCTTAACAGGAGGTTTTGCACAAAACAGGTAGGAATTAGACACCGTTTTATTCCTATCTCCTCATTCACAGTTATCTGCCAGACCTCTTATATCACCTTACTTCCTAATCTTGTGGTCAATAGTCCTTATATTTAATCATATCACTTCCAATATAAGGAGCATTTACTTCATATTCTTAATCACCTCACTTGAAACTAAGATCATCTCCAGTTAACATACTTTAAAATATTTATGAGACAGACAGACAAGGACAGAGATTTCAACAGGAACTCAATACAAACCCATTCTGGAGATTTCAATATAAATTAAATATTCATCCTATAACAAAATTCAGCCAATTTCTGCAAAAATCCTTCACAGACACTCATTTTGGCAAGAAGTCTATTGTAGGTGTCTACGTGAGTCCGTCTCTAGTTGTCTCTTAACAATATCGTACATACACAATTCGCTTTCACGTTCAAACTCATACACCAACTCATACACCTCAAACTCATACACCTAACATAGCCTATCAGAACCCAATTGACGTTCACCTATCCTATGAGAACCTCACCTGATCTATCAAACCCCAAATCAACCTCACTTAACCTTACAGAGACCAACTGAACCTTCCCTCTCCTATCAGAACCTCACCTAGCCTAACAGTCTCTCACCTCACATACGAAAAGCAAATTGTACTTAACCTAACAGAACCATACTGAACGTTACCTAAGAGAACTAAACTGAACCTTATCTAACAGAACCAAACTTAACCTAACCTACCCTAATGTA